TCCGAATTTCCTCATTTTGACAAGGCCTGCCCTAGTGGTCTAAAATAGACTCACTCCCTCGCTGAACTCCCGATACAACAAAGACACCACGCCAGCTTTTCAATTCGCCGGGAGAATCTTGTCTATCAATGCTTAGTTTCTCTTTACCATATCAAGTAGAATGACATAAAGCCATGTAGGATGTTAAGTGCTTATTCTCGACGCACTCGTCCAACTCTTATCCTGTCTCTTTCCCTGTCATCGGGCCTAGTGTCATTGGACACCTCCACCTCGTACTCCTCTTCTTCGACCTTGTGAAATTTTTCCACTTCAGCGCGCTCGTCATGGGCTCTAGCAGCATCTAGCATAAACCTGACTGTGCCATTCTGACCACGGATTCCTATAGCCGATTTGGGCGCGTGCTCAGTGCCAGGCGACAACGTGACAGGAGTTGCTGGTGTCAATGGGCTTGCAGGGCCAATACCATTTCGAGATTTTGTACCATTGCCCGTAACCCCGGTTTCTGATGCCGCCTCAGACGCATATTGGGAGTAGCGGGGAATATTTGCAGCCGACGCTTCCTGGTTCAATCCAATACGAATATTGAGAAAGTGCTCGAGCGTGTAATTGGGCCCAACGGATGTCGCGGCACGATGGTGGGTGTAAAGGTCCAAGAGATCAAGCAGCGTTTCCATGACCTCTGCCCGGCTAGTTGCCCATATACTGTATTTCACAGGCCCTGCATCAACAAACTTTGTAGCGTCCTTTCCGTGCAGTCTCGCTGCCAACTCTAAACACGCGATGGCCAGGGTGGGCGTGGATTGCTTCAGCGGCGCAAACGTCCTGTACAAATCGATGCTCAGGTTCCAAGTTGTCTTCGCCTCGGCGTTGGCGTCAAATCTTAGGGCTCGAGCAAGTTTGACCATGACTTTTTGAGGATATCGGTTGCGGAAGTCAAAACCGGCGCTTTCGAGCATGAGCCGTTCGAGACCGATGATGAGTTTGGAATGACTGTCGAAGCGCTGGATACAATGTCAGCCCCAGGATTACTGTAAATGTACGGGTACGGGTTGGGAGGCGGACGGACAGGATCATCGCTACTCAGCGTTTCCCCGGGCGCAACTTTGAGGTTCCAATGAGCACACAGGATTTCCCTGCTCTTCTTCAACGTGTCCTCAATTTTGCATGCTGTGAACAGTGCCGCCGCGGCCGCATCGGCCCAGTTGTATTCATTGTCTGCATGTAGCAACCTGAACTTGTGATAATAGATGACGGCTGTGTTGAATGTGCGAATAGGTAGTTGCAGCGCTCGCCGTACTTGATCGATCCATGCGACGCCTTGGAGACGCACAGCGTCTTCTTTGGCGTCGCTCATGTTGATATCTGAGAGACATTTCTGCATGCGCGATTGTAGAATGTACGGCTTCGCAATCTCGATGTATGACGGGTGTGGGCCGACGCGGTCGCGGTCAGAGGTAGAGGCGCCCGGCGCCATGGTGCGATGTTATGTGCAGGGCCGTCGTGCGGTACTGAAGGAGAGAGAGTGTGTAAGCGTAGGCGTGATGCAGCACGGTAACAGCTTGGTCGGCAACTCGACACACGGGCCTTTGGCATGTGTTGCTCGGCGCGAGTCTGCCCGAGTTCCCGGAGCTTATTCTGAACAGAGCGTGAAGAGCAAGCAGAGGCTCAAGAGTGGCCCGGAAGTTGCATGTCGGGAACGATTCAAAGTCTATCGGATTGTGGAGCGATCGATGAGCTCAATGTTACCAGAGTCGTTGGCCATAGCTTTGCTCAAATAGTACGAATGGTGGACAGCAGTACATCATCACTCTTATATATAAGTGCGAGATACTAACTCTGCGCCTATACTGTTGCATACCTAGTATTATATATGAAAAGATTTGCCCACGTTGCTTTATCTTTTTTTCTCTAAGTTTCTGCTGGTTCTATACAGCGTGTAAAGAGTGGGGTAAAGAGATTACATTCTATTTGTGTGGCGTGCTGAGCTAGGTTTGAGATATCGATGACATCAAGTAAGCCCTCACCGTCTGAAACAATAAGATCTGGCCCAGACCCCTGGCATGGTTCATCTTTCTTACGTATGCATACACTCTATATGCACGACATCGCATTGCGCAATACAGGGTACCTAAAGGAGTATAAGGGATGAGACAAATGGTAAGATTTCTAATCTTTCCTTCTGCTCCAATTGCATTATCCACTGTCCTATGTAGACCCATCCTCCCCGGTATTAATTCATCTCAGCTTGCACTGTACTCATCAAGCCAAAACAGGCCGTGATCATTATAATTAAAAAAAAAGCGAGGACAGAGGCGCGTTGGCCTCCGCCTTGGGAGAATTAAAATTAAGGTCTTCACCTCCAACCATACGCATGGAAATGCAGGCAAGACTCACTAAAAGTGCGCATCACATGGCTGGGCTCGAAGCATCTATGCCGTTACTCGGTCCTTGAATGTAAGAAGACAGTCATCCTGCATAATATTAGCTAGAGTCCACAGCAGGCGAAACGACAAATAAGACATACCATGGGGAAAATGGTGGCAAAAACCTTGATGACCTCGCTCTGGTCAGTGACCTTATGGTCCCAGTCAAGCAACATGCTCGCCTTGCCAATCATCAACATGAGGTTGGCTTGCGCATATGTCTGTCCCAGGCAGTAGTGAGGGCCTGTGCCAAAGACGAGCCAGTTCTTGGTTTGCTGATCGGCGTCGCCAGTGATCCATCGTTCAGGCTCGAACGACTCGGGATTAGGGTAGGCTTCGGGGTCGTGGAGGGCCATGTAGGTGGTAGGGATGACCATGGAGCCTTTGGGCACAGTGTACTCTGGAGTCACGGGGAAATCCTTCTTAGCAAGGTAGGGAACCATGATGACGGGGGGACGGTAGCGGAGGGTCTCCTTGACAATGGCGCGAGTCCATTGGAGCTTTTCAATGGCGTCAAGAGAAAGCGAGGCGTGGACATCGCCGTTCCTGGCCTTGATGTTCTCTTCACGGATCTTGTCAAGGTACTCGGGTCGGTCGGCCATGATCTGGAACAGCCATGTAGCGGCAGACGAGGTAGCGTCTTGCGAGGCGAAGAGGAACGTGAAGATGGTCATGGAGATTTCAATGTCGCTGAACCAGCGGATCACGGTAGCGGGCTTCTCGGAGTCATCGACCTTTTCACCTGCCTCGACTCTCTTGCGGTACTTTTCGGACTGAATCATGTTGTCGACCCAAAAGTCAAGAATGCACTCCTTCTTGCCTCCGGCAGCCATGCGGACCTTGCTCTTTGCGGCACACTTGGAGAACTCGTCGAGAACCATGTCGGCGCATTTCTTGCCGTACCAGGTCTTGGTGAAGGGAATGATGATTGGGAAGTTGACGAGTTCAAGCGCGGCGGTAATCAGATAGTAGTCGTCGGCAATCTTCTTGACCGCCTCGTTGGAGCAGTAGTGGCCAACAAAGGTGCGGCAGCTAAGGGCCGTGATCATCAGGCGGAATTCCTGCATCCAGGGCACGTGCTTGCCCTTGTTCTCAACCTGAGAAAGATGGACGAATTGCTTGAAGTACCTGTTGTAGATGTCCTCTTGGCCGGGAAGGTACTGTTCAAGCGCCTGGCGAGTGAAGAGACTGTTGAGGCCCTTGCGGTAGTCAACGTGGGCGCGGCCATCCAGGAAAACCCAGTTTTCGGGGCGCAAGAGCTTGTAGGCGACATCGACGACGCAAGGCTTGACAAAAGTTGGCGAATTGAAGATCTTGCGGGCCATGTCGCGGGTCGAGGCAATGACGACGAACCTGGGAGGGCAATTAGGACAGGCAAAGTTGCGGGGTGGTTTGCGGGGCGGTGTACTTGTGGAATACCGAGACGCAGCTCAGCGGGCCCGACGACCATTTTTCATGATACTTGTTGAAGTCTGGGTTGACCGACTCAAGGAAGGGGCCGATGAAGGGAATCTTCCACGAAGGGCCAACAATGGAGCCCTTGTTCCAAATGTACTTGACTGCGCGCGGGTTAGCAGGCGGTGTCGGGCGCGCACATATGGCGAAGTGCAGTGGTGCTATGCATACACTGGTCGTATGCGACAGCAGTCACAATTAGCGTCAAGGCCAGCTTCCAGACGGTGAAGCCATTCAGGACGGACGAAAGGAGGCCAGTGGTGTCGAAATCCTGCAGGACTTGGGCGGCTTTGGCGTCTGCCGTAGGCGAGACGAAGCTCACGTTGGCGGCCATTGTAGCAGTGGTGAGGAGGGGGGTCGGGGGGTCAGGTCAGGTCGCGCCAGGCAGGGCAGGACGAGGTGAATCGGGAGGGAAAGCCCAGGAAAGCGAGAAGTCGAGGACGTCAAGAAATTCCCGTTGGCGTCGGATCGAGCCAGGGCCGCAAAGAGGGTCTTTGAATGTTTAATTGCATGACTTGGCGCCGCCCCCCCGGCAACTCGCCGCCACACTAAACGCCAGGCGCTTTCTGTGCCGGACGGGGCCGTAGACTCGGATCTACTTGGTGTGTAGCGCCATGGGGCCCTCGGCGAAGCTTCTCCGTCGCATGCATGAAGCGCCAGGCATGTACTTGTATACGCCGATTGCGCCGTATACACAATGCATGGTGGAGTAGCGAAAGTACAGTCAGACCAGAGCCGACCACTGACGGGTGGGGGCCAGGGCACTCGGCTTGTTGTTGCCCTTGGGCCTTGCACCTGCTCTAGTACGACGACTATACTACGTAAGTAAATGGCTGCATTCTCCAGGCACCCAGCCAATCGGCTGGCTCGTCCGCCCCGGCGTCCGCACGCGCCCCCAAAACCATATCAAATGTTAATTAGCTATTACAAAGCCTATCCTACCAATGAGTAACGCATGGACGTCGGTCGTATTGCACACAGCACACAGCACACAGCACACTGCACACAGCACACAGCACACAGCACACTGCACACTGCACACAGCACACTGCACACTGCACACAGCACACTGCACACTGCACACAGCACACTGCACACTGCACACATGCGTCCATCCGCTCCTCACGTCTTGTTTACCACAGGCCAAAAGCTGCCTTCCCGGACCGGCTCCGTGGCAACCTTCTGGAAGAAAGACGTCATGCCCCATCGCTCCAAGAGCATCTCTTCCATCTCGTCTTCCGACACTCCAGCTTGGCCAAACACATTCCGCATCACAAAAAAGTCCCCTGCCCAGTCGAGGTAGTCGTCCTGCTTGCTTTTTTTCTCCTAAAAGTAATATTAGCTTGGATCCCAACACCCTCAACACCCTCGGCCATGCTCATGGCTGGCTGTGCTCATGCACGACATGTGTAGCTAACTCGAAACGCAGGCCTGCACTTACATACTCCCACTGTTCTTTCGTCAGCCCAAACACACCGGTAATGTCCCTCGGAAACACCCATTTCCTTGCATCGTAATGCGTGACTTTGACCACAGTGTCTTTTTGGTCGTACATGGCTCTGTACACCATATTCCGGATGCACTGCAAAAAGTTGATATACCAACGGTTGCATTCTACCACTACATCATGCCGGTCATTCTGCGCCGCGATGCCATCCGCACCTGGCAGTTCGCTCATGATGACGAATTCAATCTCTATCTTGCCCGTGGGGCGAAGGTCCAGGTAGTGCGTGAGCTGCTCTAGATGAAGCCAGGTCATGCGCAGGAAGCGCTGCTCGTACGCGTATTCATCAAGTAAACATGCCCTCGCTGGAACATCCTTGAGGAAATGCTCAAACTTGACCCGGATCTGCAGACGACGTATGTGCTCTGTTGCAAAGAATGGTGTCATATTCCCAAGCATCGGAGAGTAATCCCAAGGAATCTCTTCATCCCACTTCTGCCTCTTATGGGCGCAAGTGTGCCGGCCTAGAAAATTGGTAAGACCATTCTCAACGTTGCAGACGGAGAAAGTATTGCGCGAGTAATACATCTTTTGCGTCTCATGCGACACCAACCGGCCAACGTATCTGTAGTCCAGAAAATGACTGCTAGGAAGCACCATGTCGCTAGGAGGCTTGTGTGTGTGCATCTCTTTGACTCGGCCATCTTGGAGAATGGTGTAGTGGCTACCTAATCCCGCCTCTTCTTGGTCCTCGTCGATATCCAAGCGGGAGACGCGCTTAACAAGCTCTGGGTCTACTTGCAGTTCATCACCCCAGTTGACCGACGACTTACGTGCTATTGGTGCGCTGTTGCCGGGTTCACCGGATGCTGACCTCGTGACGGAAAGTTTTTCAAGCATGTCGGGTTCCGAGTTACATTCCATCTCGACTTCGGCGGGATAGACGTAGGGTTTGTTGTATGGACGGAAATGATAGTAGGGTCCAACTGGAATCGGACGGTCGGCGTCTACACAGAGATATTCGTACACAATCTCACGTACTTCGACAGGAAGCCTCGCATACATCATGTTTGCCAGCTGAAGACAGTCGGTCCGAGCATAGTAAATGATGGTTTTTAGATAGTCGGCCTTGAGGCCTTTCGCTTCTTCTTCAGCTTCAGCAAGTTCACGCTTCAGCCTCGCAACTCTGTTTGTGCGTTAGTTACACATGTTTAGTAAGTGTATATAGATAGACTCAAGAAAATATGTGCTACGGTCGATTATACATTTATCATTGTTTTAGATGTTCCTTTTTTGGGATTGATACCAGTGAACTTGGGTCAGTTGGGCCAACTCACTCATCGTGCTTTTTTTGAGACTGCGCCTGCAGGTAACGCAAAGGCTTTTGCAGTTGCGCAAGGTCGCTTGAGACGCCCATTATGTGCAATCAAATGCGAAAGCACTTGCATGCAACAAAGTCCATGAATATATAGCAGTATGTACTGAGTATGTGATAGAAGCGAACCGAAGCGAGAGACGCAACTGCGACCCCACATACTACTAGCGCGCATGAGCTCATTGGCCTGCCCCCCGACGCGTCGCGCGTCAGTCAATCAGGCAGGCAGGCTGTCTGTGAGTGAGCGCTCACCATGGACATGGGCTGAATTAATATGGCCACAATCAAGGCTATAGAAGGCCGCTCTGTGCATCAGATACAGTCCGGCCAGGTCATTGTCGACCTTCAGTCTGTCTGCAAAGAGCTGGTGGAAAACAGCATCGATGCAGGCGCCACGGCTATCGGTATGTCCTTGCCACGACACTCTCGACCAAAGACGGCGGCAGTCAGCTGATGCCCAGCGTAGAGGTGCGCTTCAAGAACTACGGCCTCGACACCATAGAAGTCCAGGATAACGGCTCTGGCATCTCACCAGAAGACTACCAAACCATTGCCCTCAAGCACTACACCTCCAAGCTTGCCACCTACGACGATCTCACGTCGCTGCAGACATTTGGCTTCCGTGGTGAGGCCTTGTCGTCGCTATGTGCCCTCTCCAAATTCCACATCGTTACAAGCCGAGCCTCAGATGGGCCAAAGGGCACCAGGCTCGACTTCGAGCAGTCGGGCAAGCTCAAGGGAACGTCGGTCGTGGCTGCTAAGCAGGGCACCACCGTCGTGGTCGACACTCTGTTCCATAATCTACCCGTCAGGCGAAAAGAACTCGAAAAGAACATCAAGCGTGAATACAACAAGGTCCTACAGCTATTGAATGCATATGCGTGCATCAGTGTTGGTGTCAAGTTTTCGGTCAGCAACCAGATACCCAAAGGGTCAGTGGGGATCGATAGCATGTGCATGCATTCCCGATTGTACTGACACACATCCAAAGGAAGAAAACAATAGCTTTTGCAACCAATGCGAACTCCAGCACGCGGGACAATATCTCCAATGTGTACGGTGCAAAGACAGTGACCGCACTCATACCCCTCAACCTCGAGTTCATCATGGACCCCTCCAATAGGCCGGGCGCCACGCAAAGTATCAAGGTCCCGGACGCACAAGAAGACATAGCATCGCGGACCGTCAAGATAGTAGGCCACATATCCCGTCCAGTCGTGGGCGAGGGTCGTCAGACGCCAGACAGACAAATGTTTTTTGTAAATTCGCGGCCCTGCAACCTGCCTCAGGTCAACAAAGCATTCAATGAGGTCTACAAGTCCTACAACATCACACAGTCTCCTTTTGTCTTTGCCGACATCAAACTTGACACAAACGCCTATGACGTCAATGTAAGCCCAGACAAACGCACCATCATGCTCCATGACCAAGCAGTGCTCCTGGAGAACATCAAAGACTCATTGCTCGAGTTGTTCCAGGGGCATGAACAAAGTGTGCCTCAGTCCCAGCTGCTAAAAAATAAAACGCCGACATCTGCGTTTAAACTTCCCACGATCCAACCTCGTGAAAGCACTACATCTGTACAAGAAAGCGACCAGAGCGATCCAGAAGACTCGGATCGCGACGAGGTGGCAATACAAGAGAGCTCTAAAAGAGCTTTGACACGAGACATACCCGATGTGGCTAACCGTCCCGGATTTGTGAAAGCAAGCCTTCTCGAACGATTCGCTGGCCGCGACTCTGAAGACCGGACGACTCACCCACCACATAGACTTTCAAGAGACAGTTCGTTGCATAAAGATAAGAGGCATCCAGCCGAGATAACTCGTTCACGATCGCAATCTCCATTATTTGAACCTGAGGCAAACATGGATGATGTTGCTCCTGGGCACCCGCAGCTTCCTAGGGCCATTCAAGATTTCAATGCACGTGTGGCGTCTCAGAGCCCTCGCTCGGTGGGATTAACACGTCCATCAATGTCTGATGAACCTGACCAACAAGGTGAAGGTGCAGAACAGCCAGTCCCGGCTATAAAGCAAGCTCCCCAGAAACCGTTGTCACAGAGCACCATTCAGAATGCTTTTGATCGTATGCGCCCCATGCGAACACCGGTGCAGCAGGCTACAATAACCGTTGGTGATACTACAACTGTCTCTACAATTGGTACTGGCAGTCATTCAGTCGCTTCAAGGCGATCGAGGATACACATTCCAAAGTCTTCCTCTTCTGCCAATTTGTTAGGTCAGACGCCAAATAAAAGCCTGTTTAAGAAGGGTTTGGGTGGGTTCACCGCACCGGGCACGCAGTTGGGGAGCAGTGATGAAGACGAGGATGAAGACGAGGATGAAGATGAGGATGAAGACGAAGACGACGAGGATGAGGATGAGGGTCACGGTAACACGACTCGTGTACCAATACGCTCTCCCTCTTCTGCCAAACGCTTACCATCCAGGGCGCTCGAGGGACCACGTATTAACAACTTGACTACCTTGTCCCGCGCTTCTCCAGATCGCTCAGTGTCGATTTCTGACAGATCATCGGATGCTGAGCCTGTTGAGGTTGTTGAAAAAGAATCAGAGGCAGCTGGCGAGGGTTCGGACGATGAGTACGAGGATGATACCGAGAAGAAGGCCAGAGAGGAAGCTAGGTTTACTAAGCTAATTGCGGAGGCTGAAGAGACTGCGGCTCAGCCCAGTGAGATGAGTCTAAAGCGTGCCGATAAGCTCTTTACGGTCAGCCAAAAGAAGCACTGGACTATTAACCTCAGACGCGTCATCAAGACCAATATTGAGTCGATTGCCCGTCATGCGCAGCACATTCAACCCTCTATTGATGCATCTCGGGCAGAAGTTGATCAAACGGCAATACTATCTACTGATGCCCAGTCAAACGGAGAAGAGGCAGAAGAACGCCTCAGTCTAACAGTCACAAAAGCTGACTTCGGAAAAATGCGTATCATCGGCCAATTCAACCTAGGCTTCATCATAGCCGTGCGACCCCCAACCTCAACATCACCAAACTCTCACCTGTTCATCATCGACCAGCACGCCAGCGACGAAAAATACAACTTCGAACGCCTATCCGCAACCACCAAACTCGTCTCCCAGCGCCTCGTGCACCCCCACCCCCTCGAACTAACCGCCGTAGAAGAAGAAATAATCCTCGCAAACCAACCCACCCTAACCGCCAACGGCTTCGTTGTCGAGCTCAACCCTACATCCAATACGGAACCCAGCCCTGCCACCCGCGCAAGCCTCACCTCCCTCCCCATGTCTAAAGAAGTAACCTTCACCCCCTCTGACCTTGAAGAACTCTTATCCCTCATCCTCGACAACCCCCCTTCCTCCTCCACCTCCTCATCTTCAGCATACATCTTGCGCCCCTCCAAAGTCCGCAAGTTACTCGCTAGCCGCGCGTGCAGGAGCTCGGTTATGATTGGTAAGACGCTCAAGACGCAGCGCATGCGCGAGATTGTGCGGCATATGGGGGGAATGGATAAGCCATGGTCTTGTCCGCATGGAAGGCCGACGATGCGGCATTTGTTGGATTTGGAGAAGTGGGTGGGGTGGAAGGAGGGGGAGGGGGTTGTGGGAGTTGAGGTTAAGGGAGAGAAGACGGATTGGGGGGACTATCTGAGGAGGAGTGGGGGGTGAGGTGGAGGTGTGTGGAGGTGTAGATGAGATGGGTTGGGCAAGGGGGTGAGGGAAGGTTGTTTGTGTGTGGGGGTTGGCAGTGGTATGGTAGTGTAGTCGTGGATGTAGAATCATATTGTTATCAGATTATCTTTGAGGCTATCAGTTGTTTGGATCATGATATTGCATCTTTGGTTAACAGTGAAGTCGTCTGTTTGCTGTTTAATATTTTGCGATGCCCATTTACTCTCCTGGCTACGTTTTTTTCCCATCAATATACTCTTAGCCGCTTACACGCTCTCTCAACTCTCATACCACCACATCTATATCTCCAGCTCTAAGGATGCCCATCCCACCATTTCCCACTATTCCGTTTCCACTCCACGCCTTGCAATCCCTACCTCGTTTGCCATCCCCACATCACCCCCTCCAACGCACACCAGCAAACCCTACTAACCAAAAAAACTCCGTTTCTCCTCTCTATACACATCCCCCCGCTACAATCTTCTCTCCTCCACTCTCCCTTCTCCCCAGCGAAACCCCCAACCCCCCAACCCTCAGATGCACTTACTCACCATGCAACCACCCCAGCCCACCACATCAGCCGCCCCCGACTTCTCCTGGCCCCACTCCAAACCCTTCTGGATAATTCTCATCATCGCCTCGTGTATCCTTCTCTTCCGCATTCTCTACAAAATGCATCAAACCTTGCAGGCTAGAAAGCGAGTACGGAGCTTGCAGAACATTGGGTTGGAAGGGCGAATGGACATGGAAGGACGAATGGACATGGAACGGGGAACGGATTTGCAATCGGGAGGGGAATGTAGAGTGCAGAGACCGGCTAGAGCGGTGACAGTGATGCGGAGGAGAGAAAGTGGAGGGAGTGAGGTATCGGCCTTACCGCTGTATGAGCGGTTTGAGGAGGGAGGGGTGTGTGGGGGGGATGTGAGGGTTGAGAAGAGGGGGCGGTATGTGTATGTTGTTGGAGGGGGTGTGAAGGAGTCTGAGTCCGAAGTGAGGGGGTAAGATTGGTGATGGAGATGGGTTGGCAAACGAAGAGAGTTGTTGTAGCGAAACTTGTTGTGTTTGCTGGTGAGGTGGTCATTCGTCACGGTATGGAAACGCTGGTGAGCTTGTCTTATATATAAGTCTTTCTTGTACAGAGTGTTGTTTCGAAAGTATTCATCTCAAGCGACATGGACACGCAAATCATTATCGTCATCTGCGCGGTAACGCTCGTTTTGCTGGTTGTTCAGATCACGGTTACTTTGTGTCTACTCTTTTACTGGCAGGATCACGTCCATGGCGAAAATGGAGAGAACAGTCGGAACGAAATCCCCCGTGCTCGCCAAGAGGGAGATGGAGATGCTAGTCCGGTTTTCCGCTCTTCGGATAATGGTTTGGTGGCTGGGTGCCCTTATGCTGCGAGCTCTGTGTATAGCAATTCCAGTGGGGGGAGATGATGCGACAGTTGTAGTCGTGAGCAAAGTCTTGTAGTATGTAGTTTCCGACTATATGTACATACAAGAAATAGACATGGGCGTATTTGAAGAAGAAGGATGAAGAGCAAGAGCCGAGGATGCAAGGATGCGGACGTAGCGTGGGATGCGCATGACAGAGGCGGAAGGTACCGGTTTGGCGCACGAAGACGCCCGCGGCCGGTGGAGCCTTCTTTTTCTGTATCCAAGCTTTGCGCAACTCCTCCGCCGCACTTCAACGACCTGCCACTGACCCCCGGTGTAGCTGCAATTGGGTCCCACCAACAACTCTCTACTCGCTCAACATGCTGGCTGCTCGTTCTTTCGCCTCGCCCGCGCGCCAATGCCTGCGCCAGGCCAACCGCTCAAGATGGGCGCCCGCACTGTCCCAGGTGAGCTTCCATGTAATAGCGGGACCACACGTTTGCCAGAGTTACCACCAGCTCGCGCATGTTTCCCTGTGATGGAGAGTGAGAGAGGACGAGAGATGCGAAAAAAAAGAGGGGAGAAAGGAATTGAAAGAAGACAAGAAAAAACAGGCTGATACATGGCCCAGGTCTCCGCCCGCACATACGCCTCTGAGGTCGCCAAGTTCCACGGCACAAAGGGTAGCGATGGCAAGTACAGCGTCACCTTGATCGAGGGTGACGGTATCGGTCCCGAAATCGCGCAGTCGGTCAAGGACATCTACTCAGCCGCCAACGTGCCCATCAAGTGGGAGTCGGTCGACGTCACCCCGCGCCTGAACGAGGAGGGCAAGACGGTCATCCCCGACGAGTCAATTGCTAGCGTCAAGAAGAACCTCGTCGCTCTCAAGGGTCCGCTGGCCACTCCCATTGGCAAGGGCCACGTCTCGCTCAACCTCACCCTCCGCCGTACCTTCAACCTCTTCGCCAACGTCCGTCCCTGCAGGTCTATTGCCGGCTACAAGACCCCCTACGACGACGTCGATACTGTCCTGATCCGCGAGAACACCGAGGGAGAGTACTCTGGTATTGAGCACATTGTGGTAGATGGCGTCGTACAGAGCATCAAGCTCATCACCCGCGAGGCCTCTGAGCGCGTCCTGCGATACGCCTTCCAGCACGCCCGCGACATTGGCAGGAAGAAGGTTCGCGCTGTCCACAAGGCCACCATCATGAAGATGTCCGATGGTCTCTTCCTCAGCACTGCCCGCGAGATTGCCAAGGACTTCCCCGACATTGAGTTTGATGCCGAGCTCCTCGACAACACTTGCTTGAAGATGGTCACCGACCCTGTCCCCTACAACGACAAGGTTCTCGTCATGCCTAACCTGTACGGAGACATTCTCTCCGACATGTGCGCTGGTCTCATTGGTGGTCTCGGTCTGACCCCCTCTGGAAACATTGGTGACAACTGCTCCATCTTCGAGGCTGTTCACGGATCCGCTCCCGACATTGCTGGCAAGCAGCTTGCCAACCCCACCGCGCTTCTTCTCAGCTCCATCATGATGCTGCGACACATGGGCCTCAACAGCGAGGCCGCTAACATTGAGCAGGCCATCTTCAAGGTCCTTGCTGAGGGCAAGGTACGTAGTGTTTCTCATGTTTGTTGTGAAGGACAAATCACTAACTTTTCCACAGACCATCACCGGTGACCTTGGTGGCAAGGCCAAGACCTACGAGTACGCCGACGCCGTCATCAAGGCGCTCAAGTAGATTGGAATATGGAATTGATGAGCATTGACATGACCGAATGGTAGCCATTGCATATCTGGATATGTACTAGTCCCTGTACTATAGCTACCATTTAGCTAGATACACGCCTATACCACTTGAAATTTGCATATTGATAAGAAATTTTTGCACTGTAGATTAGATTGTGTAACAAGATGCGAGTTTTGCTCTGTTTGCGTATGCCTGCATGATGATTGTGCAGCGCGAGCAAGAATAGCCGAAGCGGATGCGCGCCATGGCTTGTGAACGACGAGCTTGACCTTTAAGTGACCACTACTCTCCCAATGCCACCCAAGCCTCCGTTGCGCCTCCCTCCAAAACCTCGCGCTGCACCAAAAGCGCAGGTAAAGACATCTCTTCCAGGCCTGACCCCGAGACCAGCTGCCCGAGCCCCGCCGCATCCAAAGTCCACCACACCCGCGACACCGAGCAATGCTTCCACCCCACCCCCGCCCCCGCCCTCGTCGAAATGGCCTGAGCAGAGTCGCTCCGGCTCAAGCAGCCGCTACATGAAATGGGGCACCAACGGCCTCGTAGCGCTATGCGCAATGCTCTTCCTCCGCGACCACTACATCGAGTTCCAACACGTCCGCGGCTCCTCCATGTCGCCCACCCTCAGTCCCGATGCGCACGAGACAGGCCGCGAAGACTACGTCCTCGTGCGCCCGTACCTCGAGTGCTCCAGACGCGGAGCCAAGAGCGAGAAAGACGACGACAGCAACAACAATGAATGGGGCGTCAAGCGCGGCGACGTAGTGACATTTTGGAAACCGCATAAGCCGTCTGAAATGGGTATAAAACGCGTGGTAGCGGTTGAGGGCGACACCGTTTACCCAGTTCGCGGCTATGCTTTCGATCCCGCGGTGCATGCAGCGCGAGTGCAAGGGTCGCCGGATGGGCTTGCGGATTTCGACGCTGACTCTGTTGTTCCTGAGGAGCAGCAACGGGAGCTGGGCAAGGTGGTGGTGCCGTATGGGCATGTGTGGATTGAAGGGGACAATTGGCGGAAGAGTCTTGATAGTAATGATTTTGGGCCGATCAGCAAAGGATTGATTCAGGGGAAGGCAGTTAAAGTTTGGAGAGACTGGTTTGGGTTGTTGGATGTGGGGGATGAGAGGAAGAAGGGGGATAGGGGGATGAGGAGTAGGGTTGTGGAGGGGCGGAGTGAGATTCCTGCTGTATTCTTGGAGTGAGTGGTAAGAAGAGTTGTGTGTTTGGAGGTATCAGTCTTGGGATGGACGCAATGTTCGGTATATGGTTCTAGGTATGTATTATGGATTTCCTTCTCATCTCTCAGTTTCCATTACTCAGACCATCAGGAGATTCTTGATTTCGGCGCATACCGCATCCGTTACACTTTCAGTGGTCGCATACCCACCAAGGTCTCTGGTCTTTATACCACGGCCAGTGACGTTTTCGGTAGCCTTGATCAAGATATCGGATGCCCTGTCCTCACCAAGCCATCGCACCATCTCGGCAGCACTCCAAAACGCTCCAATGGGGCTGGCGATGCCTCTTCTAGCATTGCCAGGCTCAGAACCATGAGTTGGCGCAAATAAGCTTGGTTTCTTGTTCGAAGTGTCAAGATTACACGAAGGCGTTATGCCAGTTGATCCGCTAAGTGCCGATGCAAGATTCGACAGGATATCTGTATGCAGATTGGTAGCGACGATTATGTCGAGGGACAAGGGATGCAGAGTCATGCGGGTCGGCATTGCTTCGACAAGCATGGTGTCAGTTTGCACGTCCTCATACTCTTTTGCAACCTCGTCAAAAACTTTGGCCCAGAGCGCCATGCCATGATTGTGGATATTCATCTTGGTCACCATGGTCAATCTCTTCCGTGGTCGCGACCTGGCTATTTCAAATGCATATCTGATGACCCGCTCGGTGCCGGCTCTGGTGAAGATACTCACTTCGGTAGCTACTGCATGTGGACCATCTTGATGAAGGACACCACCCTGGGCCGAGTAATCGCCTTCGCTATTCTCACGGATAATGAACCAGTCAAGGTCGGTGGGTGTGCAACCTATCAGTGGAGAGGTGGTGCCCGGGAGAATCCGCTTAGGCCGCACGTTGACATGATGATCTTGCGACTTTAGTATGGGCTGGATCAAAGAAGCCAGTATAATTTCGTCCGGGACCGCCAGGCAGGCCTACAGTGCCAAAGTAGATGGCGTCGTAGTATTTGAGCTGATCGGGTCCGTTCGAGGGCATACATTCGCCCTTGTTGAGCAGACGTGTGGCACCCCAGTCCTAAGTAGTAAAGTCAAATTCAAAGGTTCCAAGGATAGAGGATAGCGTGCTGAGCACACTGACACCAGCTTCTATGACCTCGGGGCCGATACCGTCGCCAGGAATGCAGGCGATGCTATGCACAATGTCTGCAGCATGGGCGTGCGAGACCATGATTGATATTATTGGACGTCCAGCCCGGCATGAGCGGGAGAGGGACAGGTGATACTAGACTTGTATCACAATCAGGCAATGAGGGGCCAATACCTGTATATGTCGACAATGGTTCTCTTGCTCTCCAGGCAGACATTCTTTGTGCCTGAGCAATGCAGGTGATGGGAGAGGGACTCAGCTATCACCTTTCCGGTCCCAAACTGTACTGCGGTGGCAGCCTGGGGGAGTGTTTGGTGTATGCAACCACTGTGGTAGTCCAAGTATTAGCGGGCGCGGGTGGCTTCATGGCTTCCCCTCGACGGAGACCCTGTGTATTGCGCGTTCCCCGCGCTAGCTCCGCCACGCCACGCCCCGCCCACTACATGCACCAGAGCTCACCGCTCTAGCCAGACCACCTGGCCGACATCAAAAGCTCCGTCTGCTCCTCTGCTACCCTGCTTGCCATTGCTTTTTCCTCATCCCTTCCTGCATTACATACCTACATACATACATACACACTCCACAATGGCAGCTGCAATCCCTCCAGGCGGAACCTTCTTCGACACGCTCAACAAGAGCTTCGTCGATGTCACCATTGACGAGTCCAATGACAACGCTATCAATACGACCGAATTTCTCCAGGCGGCTGAGAGCTTGACTACTCTTTTCGATGTCTTGGGCGGAGTAGCGTTCAAACCTGTCAAGAATGACATGGCCGGCAACATCAAGGTGTGCACCAAGTGAATCAACCCGACACCCATACACGTACCAACACAAGACAGAAAATCCAAGACAGGCAGCTCGCTGCACCAGCACTGTCCGAGACTCTCCAGGACCTTGTCCGCAACGAGCTCAAGGAGAAGAAGCATACTGCCACTGAAGGCCTTCTATGGCTGAACCGGTATGTACTCTCCACCAGCTCCAAAGACCCTTTGCTAACGGCTTTTCTAGTGGCCTGGACTTTACTGCACAAGCTCTCCGTCACAACATCACCGAATCATCTGCGGAACTTGCCCAATCCTTCCGTGACGCCTACGGCAACACCCTCAAGCCCCACCACTCGTTCGTCGTCAAGCCCATTTTCAGCGCCGCTATGAGCGCTACCCCATACCGCGCCGACTTTTACAAGAAGCTGGGTGACGAAGACGCCAAGGTCCAGGCCGAGCTGGAGAAGTGGCTGACTGCGCTGGAGAAGGATGTCAAGGTCCTGAACGAGTTCCTCGCCAGGAAGGAGTCCAAGTGGTAGACGCGTAGCTCCCACATGTGAACATGACAAAAAGGAGAATGATTTAAATGAAGATTGGCCAGCGCCATTGACGTGCTATGTTGCATGATTATCAGGACAACATGGGTAGCTATTATATACTGCATGACCCAGCTCTTGTCTCACACATACTGTGATGTTTATTTCATACTTTTCAACCCGACTTCTTCCTCTGAAACACAAATAGCGCCTCGTCCTTGCCCGCAAAACTCGGCAGCGGCATCCTCAACACGAGCTCAAACTGACTCAAGTTCTTCTCCACCCACTCATCCACTACCACATCCCTAAACCCCGTAAACCCATTCCCATTCTGCGTCCCCGCAACCACAATCGTATCTCCTTCAAACGCCTTCATCATCGGCCCCGTAAAATCCCCCGTCGCCTGCGGATACACAAGCAACAGCACACACCCTTTGCCCCCGCCATTCCGCATCAAATACTGTCTCCCATCCATCTTAATCGTATCTTTGATCCACATGACCCTGTACTCACTCACCTGGCTATCCACAGCCCGCACATCCAACGCCTTGGTCGCCCCGATATGCGCCACGGGAAAATGCCGAAGCATATACGTCCAGTACCCGTTTCCAGACCCCATGTCGAGGATTGGACGCACATCTTCTTTACTTGGGCGCGCAGGCTGCGCTAGTTTTGCAAGCACGTGCAGAGCCGCGTAGGAAGGGACGACGCAGCCGAAGTGGTGGTAGAAGAGGGGCAGAATGTGATGGCTTATTTTCGTGCCCGTTGTTTCGGGGACGGGACCGGCCCATTCGAGTTCGTTGCACGAGTAGGTCCAGAGGTCTAGATAGGGGTTTTTGTGCTCGCGATCTTTTTTGCTGGGGAGGAGGCTGGAGGCTGGGGGTGTGGTGTTGAGGTAGCGGGAGGTTAGGTGGGTGGCTATTTTTTGGCGGAGGGAATTTGCTTTTGAGCTTTTGAGGTAGGAATTGAGGGATTTGGGGAGGGAGGTGGTTGGGGAGAAGAGAGAGGTGTAGGCGGTTATTTCGTCGGGGGTGGGATAGGTCTGGGGTGTGTTAGTAGGGCGATGGTATGTCGGAGAAGGGCAGACGAAAGGTTTGGTTGGTAAACATTTGAGTACTTAATAGAGGATAGATACATACAGGCTGGCCCTCCTCATCTTGATACCATCCGTGTAGTCCATGTTCTCTCTTTGCGTCAATGGCTCGCTGCGTGGCGTGCAGCGTTGTCTGTGCATGCGCCCGATAAACATAGCTGTCTGTAGGCGGGATGTCGAAAGCTTCTCCCAGGCATCTTGCGAGAGATTTTTCGGTGTGTAATGGCGAGTACTTTTCTTCTGACCATTCGTCCAGAAATGTATCGGGGTTGAAGTTCTTCAGTGCCATGGTGGTTGTCGACAGCACGTGACTAGAAGATGTTTGCGTTCTTCACCCCACCGAGTAATCCGTAAAAGTACACACCCTATTCTCCAAGCTCTTTCTCAAACTCCTCGGACTACTCAATTCGGTTGTAGATAATACACAAAAACTCTTTACCCTCCATTAGCGTCAGACACTGGGCGTTCACGTTCTGCCCTCTTCGGCAAGCAGCCAATGACGTGCCGCTGATCAATAGGTGGCGGCCATCTCGTCATCCATCACTAATCAGCCAAGCGGCTCTTTCCCGTCCCCACACGCGGTCCTCCGCTAGTCCACCTTACTGGATCTTAGTCACTAATTGGAAATGCCCATGTAACAAGAAAGAAAGCGAAGCATCGCCATGATGCAGCAACTAAAATCTCGGCCTCCCAGCCGAAGAATATAAAAACACGCATAGTCGTCGCATAAGCTGAAATCTCCCTTTCGTGATGACAGACACAACAGCAACATCAAAAGCATCCAGCCAAAATCGTGCTCCTTCTACACCTGATACTTCGTACTCAACCACCACAAAAGTAATCACAGTCCTCGTAGGCTTACTAGCACTCACCCTGGCTCTCTCAACCGCCTTTCGATCTTCTTTCTCTTCCCTCCTCTCAAAACCCACTCTCCGCACAATGTCTACTGCAACACCTGCTTCGCTGAAAATCACTAAGCGACCTTGGTCGCAACGCGGCCACGCCGACCACGGCTGGCTTTACACATACCACACTTTCTCCTTTGCCTCATACTATGACCCACGACACGAGAGCTGGGGACCTCTCCGCGTCATCAACGAAGACAGAGTCGAGGCTGGAACTGGATTCGGTACGTTCTCAACCCCCCCTAACCTAAACAATCCATATATATATATATATATATATATATCCACATAGTCAAGATTTTACTAACACGCACAAAAAAATAAAAAGGAACACACAGCCACGCCGAATTCCTCATCTTCAGCTACATCGTCTCGGGCACCCTCGAGCACAAAGACAGCATGGGCAACCTTGAAAACCTGCAGCGCGGCGAAGTCCAATTCACCAGCGCCGGCACGGGAATCCGGCACTCCGAGTACAACCGCAACCGCGACTCGGAAGTCCATTTTTTGCAGATCTGGGCCAAACCAAACAAGAGAGGTCTCAAGCCGCATTACGAAACGAAGAAGTTTAGCGATGAGGAGAAGAAGGATCGTCTGGTCAGGATCATGGAGTCTACGGATCGATTGGCCAAGAGTGAGGGCGCAATTGGATTGCAGGCGGATTTGAGTATGGATGCCTCGATTTTGGGTCCCGGAAAGAAGGTGGTGCATGAGATTGTGGCAGAAGGGCCCCGGAAGTTGTTTGCCCATGTTGTTATGAGTGGACGCACCCAGCCAAAGACGGGGGGTGGTGCGCAGATTAAGATTGGAGAGACGATTTTGGGAGAGGGGGATGGTGCGTATATTGATGGGGCCAAGGGACCCGGTAAGATTGAGATTGAGAGTGTGGGGGATAAGGATGCCGAGTTTTTGCTGTTTGATATGGGGCCTGAGGACGCGTAGATGAAGTTGTGAAAGATTTTTTTTTTCCTTTCTTTCTTTCTTTCGGTTTTGTTGGCTTAGAAATTGTGTAGCATTGATCTTATCATGAATTTCCATTATCCGACCTTTCATGCTTCAAAGCGATATTCCGACCTCTCTAATGACAAATGATTTCCCCCAACTCTAATAAACCAGTCTATGACTTCACCACACCAACAACTGCAGCCATGGAAGAAACCACCCACGTCAAAGTCGAGAGTCCAAGCTGTGGCGTACAAAACCTATATCTCGTTAGCCATTCTGAAAAGAAAGAGGCACCAGATTTCGTAGAAAGGGGGGGGGGGGGGCAGGGGAATACGTACTCGTCCTCGACAACCCCCACAAACCCAACCCAAAACACCCACTGCGCAATCCACAGCAACACCATACTGACCCCGGCCACCAGCGTCGCCCTCACCACCCTCCTCTTCGTGCTGCGCCCTCTGTACGTCTTGGCCGGCAACGCGCCATACACCGCATGCACGTAGCCCTCACTCTGCACCAGTGGAGTGTGTTCAAATGCCGAATCCCAATCTCTATCGATCCAGTACTCTGCTATTTTCTGCTCGATCCACGTCCAGCACTGCGCAGAGGGTTGTTTGAGCGAGGTCGCGAGGTGGGCGTTTCGGGTGTTGCGCCAGCGAGCGGGGGAGCGATGCAGGGTGCTGGGGTCGAAGAGGATGTAGAAGAAGGAGAGGATGGAGAGGAACATGGCGATTGTCCACATTAGGGCGCCGGTGTACATGTAGTTTGCTGCTGGGAGGTTGTGTAGTACGGGAGTGTTTGGGGCGTAGAACCTGTGAGTGAAGCCGTAGGATACGGTGGAGAGCATGGTGGAAGCAGAGAGGGCTTGAAGGAGGGTTTCGGATACGATGGCTGTGGCTACGGCGGAGAAGGTGGAGCGGTTGTAGGGGGAGGCGAGGACGAGGAGTATGGTTAGCCAGGTTAGGCGGGGGATGGTGCACCAGAGGAGGGCGAGTTCGACCATGGGGGTTTCGGAGTAGGAGGGGGTGGATTGGATGAGCATGGCGTTGAGGGCGTTGGAAAGGAGGTACAGGGCTGCTACGGCGATGCCGCGCGGGAACCAGAGGATGCTGGTTAGGGGGTTGGTGGTTGGGTTGGAGGATGGTTTTGGGCCGAAGACGGCGGTGAAGAGGGCGGCGAGGTTGATGAAGAGGAGACTCATTTGTTTCCATTCTCTAGATTCACAGGTTTGGTTGGGGGATGATGGGTTGGTTTCGCCTGTGCTGTCGTTTGAAAGACTGAATGAGTCTTTGTACCATGTCCATGGGATCGCATCGCGACGACTGACGCTAGCTAGTTGGTGCCAATCCTCTGGTAAACCATGCCAGCCTTCCTCGGCGCCGCATAGGTCGTGAAGCCAGCGTACGTAATCGATCCGGTTTTCGAAGACGTGGCAGGATCCTTTGCATGTGCCGTAGCTGATGTTGCGGCAGAAACATGATCTCTCCACCGCACGTTGGACATAGCAGTAGCCGTCGAAGCCGACTCTGCAAGCATTAGTTGTGCATTGGTCCTGGAGCCGCACCACGCTGTCTGGCATGGAATTGAAGCACTGGGGCCACTTCCATCTCTCAGTAGGAATGTAGTCGTGAGGAGTGGTTTTGAGTCCTTCCCTCCAGTTGGGAGGAAGTGACGCAGATCCGCAAGTAGCATGCATCCATAGCCGTTGTCTCGTCGAATCTACTCCGGGCCCTGCACAATTGCCTTCTGCGAGACTCGCATCAAATGTCTTGCAGAAACACTGCTTGTCAAAGTAATCATTGTCCGGGATAATGGCATGCGTTAGGTCGTACCCGGCAATCTCGGCATCAAGAGCGACCATTGTATGCTGTCTTTCATGATACTCCCACGGACGTTTAGCATTCCCTGTATGTCTAGTAGAAGCCTCGAAACCACAGGATGCCATGACTTGTCCAAATGGCTCCATTGACGAAGCGGATACCGACTGAGTGAGACATGCCGGCGCCTTGTCTATGACACGAATAGTTGCATATCCTTTTGTCAACGAACCTGGAGAAAGCCTTTGTAACCCGTTGGCATCGCCGACCTCAACGAGCCATGTACGATCCGTAGCTGTGCGGATCCACTGGTACAGTTGTGCCTTTTTCAGAACCGAACGGCTACAGTAATCAATGTACTGTTCAAGAAATTGAGGTGACATCTCAGTGTTTAGACAGCTGAGTTGAGTGCGCCATTGGTGGCGGCTACAGATCACCCCAAAGTGCCGCATGCATTGCTTCTTTGTGCATTTTGTCATGGCACTTAACCACGCCGCCTGGTCCTGCTCAGCAATGCACTGAGGCATGGGTGGTAAAGTCTCGGGGTAGACCCAGTCATGCTGAGCGTCCAGTGGTGTCAATGATGAGGGTTCTTCGTTCGACACAAGCTCAGTAGGATGGAGAGGTATGTCTGTAACCTTGCTTAGCGCCGGGGTCAAACGAGGACTGGGGGGAGTGGATCATCACCTTGAAGCACAATCTCGGCCCTGGCGATCGCCAACGAAGCGAATAAAATTGTCGAAACCCTCATTCTAAGAGGGGTTCCAGGCAATGAAGAATGAAAGAGTGGTGTGAAGGAAACTGGGCCAGCCTGGTGTTGTGAGTTGCGGGGTTGCTGCGCTGCGGCGCATTGGCGCTAAGGTTTGTGTAACCAATATCAACACACTGATGGTGAAAGTCCAACTGCCAACAACCTTCCCTAAGCGCCGACCAACATAAACGGCGCTATAATCTCTGCGGAGTTAGATAATGAGAATACTTGTTGGAGATAATTTCGGGGCACCTAGATGAAATACAACAGCATTTTGAATCAAGTATTCCACAATCTTCTTTACATTACCTTTTCGATGACAAGCACTAAATCGACTATCTTCTCGTTCTTTCAACTTACCGATTACTTACCAACGCGAATACTCAACATGTGATTCCCAGTCATGTCCTGAAGCAAGACACACTACCAGATACCTTACAACTTGCCGAACTTGTCTTCACCCAGTCGCCTCACCTGTCCTAGATCAACCTCATAAAGCTGATACTCATCATGCTGTCCATACCTCCCATCATAAAAGGACTTGTCAGACGACACACGAGCCGGCTGGTAGTTACCTATTCCGCCATCGGGGAACCTATCACCCATGTATGGCGAGCTGGGTGCGGTAGGCGGCGTCGGCTGTTTGCTAGAGGGTTCGTTGATAACCTTAGCAAAAGCAGCAGCGCTAGCTTCAATGTCCTTGGTGCGCTGAATTTCACGCTGCTTGCTATGCCGCTCGCGGAGTACGACAAAGACGAGGAGGGCAATGACTGCTACACCTGTAACTACCACCACGGTGATTAGAGTAACCCTGTGCATGGTAAAATATACCTCAGTCTCAGACGCGTAGATGTCACGCTTGACGGAGGCTTGATGGTGAGATGTCGAGCAATTGGACATGGATGCCATGTCGGAGCGGTCCATGTCGTGCAGCGAATGTCTAAAATAATCTTTGGTGATCGGCAGGCAACGATGCTAGCAATCTCGGGAAGCAGCGGTGCACGTGAAAGATCAGCGAATTGGTTTAGTAAAAGAAAAACAACGGTGCAGGTGTGTCGAGGAAAATTTTCTGACTGGACCTGCTTATAGTTTGTGGGCAGCTGTGTTGTGGGCAGACAATGTCGTTACCATGCATCATAGGCCGACAGTGCCCAGCCTCGGGGTATTTCCCATGTGCGATGACCAGGAAGCCTAGACATATGATTGTCAGTGAAGATGGAAACAAACATTGTTAGTGTGTTTTATTGGGTGTTGGTGAGATCGTCGGTGTTATACACGAGGGGCGCAGGTTAAAACAAAGGTCATGATTGTTGAGCTGCAACCCCCGTGCGGCTGTAGTACAACGCCATTTATTGCATTGCCTCGAATTGATCATATGTCACCCAGCAGCAACTTCCCTCCGCCCCTTACTGCAGCGCATAGATCGTGATGCAGCGTCGGCCTAGAGACCAAGGTACTGGGGCCAGGTTACACGACTCAAGAGGCCGTTGTGGCAATGACCCAATCAAGGGGGGATGGCGTAAGCATGAGCGAAAGGATTCCTGACCCAAGAGAGGAAAAAAGAGCGTGAGTGGATGTGGGAGTGTGGGTGAATGCGGAGTGCATGGTAGGATGACGCTAGCGGGGAGGTGCATTATTGAAGCCGTGTGTCGCGGCTGAAACGCCCGGCACTGGACGCGCGGCGCTACGTCATAGGCTGGCTGCAGACCTCACATCATGCATGACAAGGCGCTGAAGGCTAAAGAGGAGAATGCACAAACATTGGCGTGCGCTGGACAATTGCGACATCCGACAGACAAATTTCTCTTCATGCAGCTTCATGCACCGAGGTAAGTAAGTAAGAAAGAAAGAAAGAGGAGGAATAGCATGGAACACACGATTAGAAACTTGCATGGTCAAGGGAAGGGTAATTGAGCTTTGAATATGTCCATTGAAATGACTTAAGATTATAATATAGACCGTCTGGATATACCCCAGTTTCGCCAGGAACCCATTCTTTATCCCTAATGTCTCGTTTGCTCGAGACAAAGCGACGTCAGCTCTTGGCTGAGCATGGCTAGCCGATGGAAGAAGCTATCGGAGGGAGGTATGATGCTGATGAAGATGATTTGTCGACAAAAAAGACTTGGAATCCATCTAGAAGTGCTTATAGGAGGCCGGCAACAGCGAAGATACCAGCGGCAGCGGCACCCATGGCGGGGAGAGCGTTCTGGTTGGCAGCACCAGTCTGCTGGGCACCAGCGGATGAGGTGGCAGAAGAAGCTGCGGAGCCGAGAGATGCGGTAGCGGAGCTGAGAGCAGACTCAGCCTCGGAGCGGATAGATGAGGCGGCCGCGTTGGCGCTTGAGGCGATGCTGGAGAAGCGGGAAGCGGCATCAGAGGGAAGGCCAGCAACGCCCGAGGTGATTTGGGAACCGACGCTCGAGGCGAAGGAGGCAGCGTTGGAGGGGACGGCACCACCGGCCGAGGTGATACGGCTGGCAAGGCTCTCGACGTCGGAGGCAACGTTGGAGGGAAGGCTGCCGACGACAGAGGTGAGGGAGGCGATGGCACTGTCAATCTGGGCGTTGGCAGCGCCAGCGGCGAAGAGAGCAGTGGCAATGTAGGTGAAACGCATCTTGATGGTTGGTGGATGGGTGGGTGGGTTGTGTGGTTGACGGTTGAGTCGGGGAGGAGAATTGAATTAAGTGGTGGAGTATGGGTATCTGGTGTGGAATGGAGAATACAAGCAAGACTGGGCGACGTGAAGGGCTCTTATACCAGGCGCGAGGGTAGTAGTAGTACTAGCGCCGTCAATCAATCGCAGGCACAGCCCATGGAGGCAACAAAGACAGTGTGCTGGCCTGGCTAATGCTAACATGCAATGCACACCCACCCTCACCCTCACCCTCACGCTACGCACCGCCTCGCCCACTTTTTCCCACGAGCACGAGGCTAAAATTGGGAAAAGCGGCGGCGGGTGACGCCACATGTCGCGCCTCTTTCGTTTCCCCCAGCCTGTCGGAAGACAGCAACAACCGGACCCGTCTCCACTCTACTGTCTTCCCACGGGCGGACGAGTTGCAAATGGCCTGGGCGATCAATTCCTCCCTAGCTCATGACGTCGTCTAAGAAGCCAATACTACGTTCCCAATTTCCTTGTCCCATCACGTTGCAGCCAAGGTCCGCGGAAATGGGGAGACGGGCTGCGTGTGTGTGTGTGTGTGTGTCGACTAGGCAGTGTTTGAACCATCTCATGTCATTCTCGCGTCGTCGACTAGGCATTGTTGCTACAACACTGCCTCTCCTTACTTACTGGGTAGAGTAAGATGCTATTTCCAGCACGCAAAGCCTTGTTCCCCAGCTGAAACTCGCCCTGCCCCGAGCATAGTAATCCGTCGTTGGGCCAAGCTTTCGGCCCCGTCAGCACCATCTCAAAGTCAAAGAAGGGACCCTGGCACCCCTCTACACCTAGTAACAGCACACCAAATAGCCATACTAGCAGTAACTACTACCACTGTCCTTTTTTTTCTAACTCGTCGACCATGTGGTGCATACGGCCTTTGCTGGACACCGGGCCTGCAGTGGGCAACGCGATTCCAACGTCCCGTCGATCCACTTTGTTGTTAGGGCAACCCCCATCCAAGCCTTGGCCGTGCATCTCGGGCGCTCTGGAGCCCTCGCCAGCCCATGGACAAATGATGAAACGAGCATGTCGTCACATGTCCCCCAACTTGACATCTTGATTCAGGCCTATCCTCATCTGAGAAGCAGCAGCAGCAGCAGCACCAAGCTGACCCCGAGCTCACCTCAGCGGAAGGATTCAACGTGCTACGACAATGACGCATCGTAATGTGGGAATAAATTGTGGCTCTGCCTCTGCCTCATACCCGCGCCACGAGCTAGTGTAACACCCAAAGGCAAAAGAAGGCTGTGCGATGATGCGGACGCTGTGCTGCTTGGCTGCGGACATGCGGGTGGTGTGCGTGCCTGGCCACCAAAACCCCAGCCCTACGCCGATCTCGCCATCGAACACGACCAACAAACCCCCTGTCGCCGCCAGACCAGCCAAGCCCGTCTTTGCCGGCTACCTTGCCAAAAAAATCCCCTAGTTCTGAATCCCACTGTTCACGCAATCGCAACGCCTTTGCCTTGGTTTATTTTATTACTCGGTTGGAAAAAAATTATTAGGCCTACTCCTGTCTACGTAACGAAGGGGGGCTACTTTATTCCCCGAAACGCGTGGACAGATGACATCATTGTCCCCCCATCCATCATCCCCCAAATGCCCTTTCCCCCGAGTCATGTTTCCCATAGCGCACACACATACACACGTAACTTTGCACCTCGGCCATTTTTCTTCAAATCGCCTGCATACTACGTACACCTACTATGTACCAATATCCAATCATTCCCAATCACACACAAACACACATATACATGTCCGCAATATGATGCAAGTTTACAAATGTTTACATCAGCCCAAAATAGGCCCTGAAACCCCGACTCGGGAAGAAGAAGAAGAAATTGCACAAGTGTTGTACACGTAGTTATACCTAAGAAAAGGGCATTTGCTGTTCAGGGAAGGGGGGTTGGGGTTACCCAAAAAGGGTAAAGGGGGGGGGGGAAACTATCGGTGTAGAGTAAGTACAGCGCAGGGCTTGGGCGCTACGGCGGGGGAGGGGAGGGGAATAACGAAGGGGGGCAAATCTACAACAGTAGCTATGCCGGACTGGACTGGACTGGAGGACCCCTGCTGGGCTAGTTAGTTAGTTAGTTAGTTAGTTGGGGGGGAGGGCTTCCAGAAGGCGGGTTGGAAATAGTAGGACTGGACATCACACCTTCTGCGGCTTTTGAGATGCGCAGGTGTTGGAGACTCTGGAGGAGACAGTTATTAGATAGAAACCGGGTTTGCTGCTCTTCTTCTTCTTCTTCTTCTTCTTCTTCTTCTTGTCCTGATATTATTATTATTACTATTATTACTATTATTACTATTAATCCCGGTGAACGCAACATGTATTAAGTTTTCTCTCCCCGTATGTGTGCGTGCGTGTGTGTGTATGCCCAGTGGTCGCTGCTAAGATTCCACACATGCACACAAAACGCACCGTCACACCAACTAGGCCAAAGTTTCAAAGTATCAAGTACTAAAAAAAAATCCGCCAACCGACATCTTTACCCATGTCTGATATATATACACTTTATAAACACGTCGGAAACGAAAAATATATATATATATATATATATATCTACAATGGGGAAATCAACCCCCAGTCATCTACCCCATCCGATCATCCCACACACACTCCACATCCCCCCTCTCTTCCCCCCTCCACACTCCCCCAGGCACATTCTGCGCTGCAACCGCACGCCGAATCCGCGTCCCTAGCTCCGGCGGTCCAGACCCTACAATCTGTGTCCGCCCGCTCTCCACCGTCTCGGACATGAAGTTGGCAACCAGAGATGCGACATCCGGGCGCGCATTGTCCAGCCATGTGATGCTGAAATCTGGGCATTCGCGTTTGAGTTTGTCGATTTGGCTGCTGAGTTCCATGGATTCCACGGACGAGACGGACTCCAGCGCCGCACCGCCGTCGCCTTTGTCCTTGCCTTTGTCGCTTTCTTTATCACTTTCTTTACCACTTTCTTCGCCACTTTCCTTGTCACTGTCAAACTCGAGTTTAAGCTGGGGTGAAGCCTCTAGTCGTGTAGTCTCTGTTCTGGTGACGAAAATGCGGATGCGGAAGCGCTTATTTGTGCTTACAAACACGGAGGGGGCGTCATCTTTTTTCTCATCGTCGCTGCTGGAACTACTGGTTGCTTCGTCGCTCTGGCAGAGTTGGGACTTTAGATATGCGAGTTCCGGGGCGATCCAGGCAAGGTTCTCGATGTGGCGGATGGTCCAAATGAGCTCGATGTTATTGGCTGGTGAAGAGGAGGAGATAGCGTCCATGATGACTGGCAAGGTGTAGGTTATTCCTGTGCCCCCGGAGATGGCGAGAATGTTGAAGACATCTTTGTTGACAATGGAGCTGCCGTATGGACCCATCATGATGACGGGGGTAGATGCTTGGACGCGCGGATAGCAGTTTGCAGCAGCATCGGCAAGAGCAGCGAGTTTGGCCGTCTCGCCCTTGCAGGCGCGGATGATGTAGGTATGGCGCTGCAGGGGAGAGCTGTTTGGGTTCGAGCCTGGCGTAAATGGATGTGACTGCCACATGTTGAGTGCGGGAAAGGTAAGATAAAAATGTTGGCCAATTGCCCAAGGACTATGCTTGTGGTAAAATGTTATGCGAACAATGGTACCTGTGGGATCCTTGAAAGTATCCAGGATCGCTGGAACAGAGCGGAAGCCAAATCCACCATCCCTCTCCTTGTAGCCGGTGTGGATGAGAATGGCGCGAACACTCCGGGCAACCAAATCGAACCCCATAAGGGCAAACGAGGCGATCATCCAGCACGACAGCTTCTTCCAGTGGCCCCAGCAAGCTCCAATATAGATGATGGAGACAAGGAGATGCGACTTGCGGAAGAACTCGTAGCCCGTCCAGCGGATCACGGGTCGGAGGCTGAAGACGAACAAGAACGTGATCAAGGCCTGTGCAATGCAGCCCCAAACCATGTACTTTTGGTTGATGAACTTGGTATAGACAGTAGGTTGTGGTTGGTAAAGCTTTGCTTCAATAATAGTCCAGATAATGGCATGAACGAACGACTGGACGAGAATGATGCGGCCTGTCCAGCGATGCAAAAAGTTGAAGCTCTGGTAGGGAATGCCAGTAATCATGCTGAGAATCGAATCGCGGCTGCACAAGGCAATGGTCAATGGAGTGAGGGCAAAGGCAAAGGCGCCAATGCGGTCGGCGAACCCACCCATACCGGTGCGAGTGTTGTGCAAGTTACTGTCCTTGATTGGCGTAACCCATGTCTTGTACGTGATGCCAGCAAAAGAAAAGGCTGTGAGGTAGGCGCAGAACAAGGCAAGGATCAATACTTGCAGCCTCGTAGTATACCTGAATACTTTCGAGCACTCGGGCAATAGGTGTTTGCGGACAGCTGACGATCCCAGTCTTGTAAGGCGATATACAAAGCTCTGTCTTGGGCTGTTCTGTTTCTGCGGGCGCGCTAATCGAAACACAATGAACAAGAGGAGGATGAGGCCGATAACAGCCCACATGACAAAGGTGAAGATCATTGATCTCTCGTGGTCGCCATAGATGGAATCCAGATATTCACAGGTTCCTTTGTCGTTGGTGCATGGCATTTTTCGCACCGCATAGCCCCAGTAATCAATTGTATACTGAACATTGTCATCGGACTGGATGTGGCGAGCGGTCAGCGGGCGGGTAGTCGAATTGAAAAACATGGCGACGAGCACTTGCAGCGCTGCTGCCAGAGAAATGGGCAAACAAATATGGGCACAAGAGAAGAAAACTGAGGGAGTCGCAAGGATCCAGCATGGCGATTACTTGAACGAAGACATATAGAAGACCCAAGACCATTGGCAAATTTCTAGTTCCCACAGTAGTACTACAGTATATTGTAGCGCGTTCACGTTTGACGTTTGACAGGACTTTGTTGCAGCTGTCAGGTTCCTTCGAGCGGAGTGTCCAATGGTAGCATTTTGATTGATGAAGTCGAAACGAGGTTGTACCCACATACCCACCGGGGAGGGACCGCTCGTTTTGACGGCCGGATTCAGCATCCGGGGCGGCCTCTTGGTGAGTCTTGATGACCGGATAAAAAATGCCACTACTATAATGGTACAAGTAATACGATGATGCCAACACCAAATGCTTCTTGGCTATATAAAACACGAGCGAAGAGATGATGCCATCGATGATGAGAATCATTGAATTCTTTACAGGATTGAAGATGCCGGTTCTGGCGATTTTAACAGTGAGTGGGGTTGATGTCAGAGTTGTTCCAATCCATCAGGAAACGGTGTTGATACGAGTAGCGCATTGCAGGACGTGTGTTAGGACAAGGTTGCGGTGGATCGAGCATGTTTGTCATGCTGGGCAGCGCTAGTGCATCACGTGATAAAGGTCACATGTATGCCATCACGTGCATAGGGTCACGTGGTTAGAGTTAGTTTCGCTTGCGATGGTGCAAATGGCGGTCGCGTTTATGGAAATTGCGACGGACGGGCTACGGCGCACGACGGGTACACGGCGCCCCTGATACGCTCGACGTGTATATAGCTGTACACGTGTACGCGTGCATGAGCTGGATGCGAACAGGGCGTCGACTGGCCTGAATTGAATTGGGAATGGACGCTGGAGATTGCTGGTGGTTCTTTTTCTTTCTCACGCCTCGTCAACGTCGCCCCTGGCCTGGAAAAACAAAGGAGGCCCCACTTCTCTCGGTCGACCCCTGCCAAGATGCCACACGGATGTTCGGACGAACCTTTCACGCCCTAAGTAACAGCCATTTCTGCGGCCATGATTTCCGCTGCTGCCCTCGCCGCTCACCTCAATTGTTATGCCCACTCGTTGCATAGCAGCCCGCCATGGACGTAGCTCTCGAAATCCTCGATCCTCTTATTCTGGATAAAGCCTATGCATGGGCTTTACCCGCCTCATCTCCCGCCTTTACAAACTCTTCATCAGCCACACTTTCGGTGGCGGGCTCACCGCTTACCTCGCAATGGCCGCGCGACAACATCTACCGTCAGATTGTGTCACTTCTCACCATTACCCAGATTGGCGCAACGTCCCTCTATCTCTTCTTCAGCGCCCTGTCTTACTACCTTGTCTTTGACCGCCGTCTCGAGTACCACCCGCGTTTCTTGAAAAATCAGGTTCGACAGGAGATTAGATCCTCCTTGTTTGCCATCCCTTTCATCAACTTGATGACCCTGCCCGTGTTTCTGGCAGAGGTCCGTGGCAAGAGTCTGCTCTATGCCAAAACAAGCGACTATGGCTGGCCGTGGCTGATAGTGTCGACCGTCCTGTATATGGCATTCAACGATATTGCCATTTACTGGATTCACCGCCTCGAACACCACCCTAGCGTGTACAAGTACATCCATAAGCCACACCACAAATGGATTGGTAGGTTTTGATTCACTCTTGTTTTCCAAGACTATCTTGTCTCTTCGCGCATTTAGGAGAAATTTGCTAACAAAAGAAAAGTTCCTACCCCATGGGCTGCCCTGGCTTTCCACCCGGCTGACGGATTCATCCAGTCTCTGCCATACCAGTAAGTACCACACTATTCATATCTCTAGTAAACCATTTCTAAAACCCAAAAAGCATCTTCGTCTTCATATGTCCAATGCAAAGATACCTCTACATGGTCCTCTTCGTCAGTGTCCAAGTCTGGACCATCTTCATCCACGACGGCGACATGATATCGGGCCATTGGACCGAAAAATTCATCAACAGTCCCGCACACCACACGCTGCACCACATGTACTTTACCGTCAACTACGGACAGTACTTTACCTGGGCCGACAACTATTTTGGCTCGCACAGGGCTCCGGAGCCCTCGCTTGACCCCATCCACGACGCTCTCAAGGTGATGCGGGCAAAGGGTCTGGTCGACGAGCAGGGTAATTTGATCAAGCATGCCAAGAATGAGTAATGGGAAAAAAGTTTTTAGAGGTGCCGATGTATTATATAGACTTTTTTTTAAAAACTTTGTTAATACGATAATGTAATGTCTCAATGTAGTGTGTTTGGTCATACAAACATACCCCTAGTAATAATCATTACTCTGATGCATGCATGGTGCGTGAGCTGACGTCTCATCAAGTTTTTTTACAGCTAATGGTCGCAGCCTTGGCTGCATATCAGGATCCGTCTCAGCGGTATTCCCTGGAAAGAAGGAATGCAGTATAATTGGCCCCAAGCATCTCTCTCCTGCTCTTGGCTTCAGCTGTGCCGCAATACAAGGAATAGCGCGGATTATGTCACCAACGATGGCATCTCCACCAGATCGCCGAGAGTAATGAGCCAGATCATCCATGAGTCGCGGCAGTAGACGACAAAAGCAGCTAGCCATTACAGCAGCGAAATACGACAAAAGCAATATACATATAGCTGAAGCTACACTCCTTCTCCAGCGCATCGCTTCCAAACTATAATCATACAATATCAAACATCACGAGCGAAACTTCTCAAAAGACAACTCTACCACCAATGTTCTTCACACAGCAGATAAAACAAGCCTTGCGCTTCTCCTCTTTCGTCCAAGCTGCGATGTACGTGGAGTGGTGTTTCGCTGTCTCTGGACAGTTACTAACGTTGCATTATGGACCTGGTCCATGCACTTTTGTACCACCATGTCTATACTACGTCTGGAATAGTACGTCAGCTCGCTTCCGGTTTGTTGGGGATTCTATCGACCTCTCTGTGTATTTATCGGTATAGATATCTTGCTTGCTTTGATCTCTCGAGTGCTTCAACACGATTTGTTTGCTTTTCTTTTACGGCTTTTTCTTCTTGTTGTTTTCTTGTTACTACTTTTGTTGCGATATTGATGATTGATTTTACTTATGATAGAACGGGTTTTTTTTTGGTTTGACTTCTGGTATCAGGCTTAAATGGGGAATCGATTTGAGATGTATGCACAGTTATGACCGCGTGAGCTATGGAAGGTTGGGGATTTGAGTAAAGGTAATTTTCAGTGTTGATTCTACGGTAGAGTCTGGAGGCAAGTGCAAATACCAGATAGGCATCAAGGCCATATCCTTCTTTTGGATGAGAATTCATACCAGCTCACTGGCTCTGAGATTGCGATTTTCCAAAGGTTTCTCAGGTCATTTTTGCCTAGCTTGTTAGTTTACTGTAACACGTGCTGTTACAATGAGTTAGGTGATGGTCTTAGTACCCTATCAAAATACAATTGCCAACGACGGGGTAGACTGCATTAACCATAGCAAAAGCAAAAGCTTGCCTTATTTTTCTCCCGCAATAGCCATTGTCTATCTATCGTCCGCGGCCGTAAAATCAACTTCCATGATGAGGGAGACTTTGGTGGCTTCTTTTATGGCGCGGATACACTATATTCCGAGTGTCTCTGTTTTCGGACTTTTATACCGACGTGGTTCGAGCTTCTATCAACAAAGTTGGTGCTTCACTGGTACATCATTCTCTTTTATGGTTAAAGCTTTTTTTCGCCGCTAGAAGGAACGATATGCCTTGGTCCACTACCAATTTCTGGGGCATAATCTATAAGACTAGCTACTGTCGATTCACGTGGAAATGCTTGTCTCTTGGCGCCAGGTGTTATTCTGCTCAAGTAGAGCTGTTTGCGCTTCAATTGTGTACGTACGCATCATATCTGAAGAGCCCGTGTTTGACATGTGCAATTATACTAGGATTGTCTGCACGTCATACTGTGTACACATCTATCTGCGAGCAATCATAGGCACGGATATGCACGCGCCGAGGACATGGTGTTACACAATTCACCGAATCCGGGGCGGATTGGGCCGGAAACGAAATGTTTGATCATCATTCCATCTCGAGCGGCATGAACCCGATCGATCCTGGAACATAATGGGGTATATATGCTTGTCATGCATCTTCTGCCAGGCTCGTCATATTGAACGTCTTTTGTTTTAAAGGTGTGCAGAGAAAGTTTGTTATACCCCCTTAATCTAGAGACCTCGTATCGCTATCTGGCATATGCAGCTGGCGATTAGATGTTGGACCGGCCGGGTAAATCGCACCGCGATCACATTTTATCGACAGCCTCCATCTTTTGCTTTTGATGTGCATGAGTCTGTGGTAGCTGAGCCTTCTTGACTTCGTGGAAGGTCAGTACGGGCTAGATCCCATTGCTTATTTAGGACTTGACACTGACGATATCCTCGTCGCGGAGTTGCCGGAACAGGCAGAATCCACGATGATGCTTGCAGGCTGGTCGAGAACATTAACAATGGTAGGGGCACACCTTCAATTTCAAATCGACAGCCAGTGTAGGGATAAGAGTAGAGCAGCTTGGCTTCAGACCTTGAATTACCAACATGGGTATTCTGAAAATGTTGTTGAAAGAGCGTTTCCCTCAATGGTTCGCTGACAACGTGCACTATGCGGAATGACTCCGGTGAGATTGAGTATTGCGTTTTGTGACCCAAGCACCCGTGCCGCACCGTGCCCGTGTGCGCCATGTTCTGATTCGCGTGACGGTACAGGCTCGTGCTTCAGCGGGGGGAACGATGAGGCGGTAGTGGCTGCTTATGCAACCTTCATTGACCAAAGTTGTCAACGAGGATGCTACCAAGTATGTGGGATGTACGTAAGTAAGTAAGCAAGTAAGTAGGAGGTGGAAGATGCTAAGCAGGGGCTGGACATGGCCTGCCGATTCGGGAGTCCAGCCCGACAGCTGAGAGATGTCTCTTGATAGACTTGAGCATTCTTGTTCAGCCGCTGCGATCTGTGGAACGACGATGGCGCCACTGCCTGTGGTTCACACTGGCTGAACTGTAATCAATCGTAGTAGGTACTTGTCAAAGAGAGGCTGTGCGTCATATTCAACATGTGGTCAGGTCGCCGTTCTAACAAGGTGTCAGGGCAACGAGGCGCAGCGAGGCGCGGCGGGACGCGACGCTGCGGTCTAGAAGCATAGACATACAGGGAGTGGGAGATGCGAGGATGAATCATGTAGCCATCACGTGACCATCGGATTTGGGCGCGATCTGTACCCGGTCAGGCATCCTGATCCTTCACACGTCCTTTGCGCCCTCCAGCCAACATTTCGCTTCGGACCAACACCCTCGCGTATAATCAATGTCTTCACTGCTATACCGCTAGCCACGCCACTACGAATTTGTGCCAGCTCCCCCTGCGCCGGCATCTCAAATCCAGCCAACCGTTAGCTTCATGAGGGGTCCCGTTTCCGCTTTTAGGTGGCCCAGGTGCGATGTCGATAATAGTGCGCATGAAGAAATCCTCCACCTGAACTACCTGACATTCCCCTGCTTGCTTCAGCACTTGTGTCCGTCCCAATGGGCGTCGAAGGAACCCATCAGCCCATGTACCTCACGGCGGGGAGGCGGGTGTGATCGGCGGTATTCCATAGAAATTGTCTCCGAGCCGTATCTCTAGCCGTGGACTAAACCTCATGCGGTTCGTGATATGAACTCTATACACGCATATGATTGATCACTAGAGAACCTGATTCTGGTGGCGCCCATGCCCCTTTGGCGCCAACGTTTGAGCAGTCTTGGTCTCTATCCCGCGCTGCTCAAATGCATCGGACGCGCTGTTTGTCTACCATGTCTTGCCCTCGCGAAATACCACGGACATGAGTTCAAGCACGGCTGGCGAGTCGATCGCCTATCGCGTCATTATCCCAAGTGTTCTCGGGCCTGTTGTTGCATTGCCCCTGTGCGGCATTCGAATGTATACGAAACTCTACATATTGCGCAATACAGGACATGATGATTGTAAGCAAGCCACCTGTTTAGACCACCGAGGACAATGCTTATAGTACAACTAGATGCGATTGCTTTAGCGACGGTACGCATTGGCATTCGGACAATACTATTCCACGCGCATGGGAATTGACAGAAGTCATAGATTCTAGCCCTCGGGTTTTCAATCACTACTTGTTACCGTAAGACGCAGATGTACAACCCTCGAAAACTTGGTCATAGCTAAAGCGATTCAGAGACGACCAATGGCTTAGGAAAGCATATCGGGGATGTGTCACCCTACCAGTTTCACCAATTGATGAAGGTAGGCATTGACTACGCGCGGCTTGTAACTGTTGTCTAGCAAGTTACTCACCATCATCACAGATTGGTGACATCGCCGGTCCGATCTTTTACAACCTTTCGACTTTATGCATCAAGACATCGCTATGTCTCTTCTACCTGCGCTTCTCCGTTTCCAGAGGGTTCCATACCGTCATCTATGCTCTCCTGGCCGTCTGTGTCATTTACAGCAGCCTTGCCGCGTTCGGCTTCGCCTGGGTGTGCCAGCCCAAAGAGAGATACTGGGACTTTAGTATCACGAGCGGATCCTGTGTCGACCTTGATGCCTTGTTCTTGGCCAACGCATGCATCAATGCGGCGACGGATTTCGTACTCCTGGTTCTACCACTGTTTATCATCAAAGATCTCACCCTACCTAGACGACGCAAGATTGGTGTAGCACTATTGCTAATGACTGGTTCGTTGTGAGTTGTCCCTTTGGTGTCATTCAGTGAAGCTTCAGACTGATCGCATTGCAGTGTTCTGGTTGTCAGCCTAATTAGAGTCGAAGCTGTGGTTAGAGGCATGGGCAAGATTGCGAAAGACGGGACTTGGGCCATGGTTACAAACTTCATCTGGATGTCAGTTTATTTCATGCAGCACCTCACGTATACTTACTGACGTTGATAGTCTTGTTGAAATGTGGATGGGCGTCATCTGCACATGCCTGCCTACACTGCACACATTCGTCAAGAATCGATGGGCTGCACGATGCGCCAAACTCGTTGCTAAGAACAACGGCAATGCCATGCCGGAGCACCAATGGATCGGACTCCAAGATACCCCGGAGAGACCATCCTCGGCTTCAAAACCAGTCGCCGTTGTAAATTTTCTGGATTCGAAAAGTCATGGAAGTGACTCGTCCATGGCTCGAACAATCGTATGCGAAGAAGCTTCCTTGCCTCCTGCTTCACACAGCAACACTCGGTCTACAGAAGTTTTAGCAGTGTGAGTTTGGATCATTAATAGTGTCTATGACACTGTAGCTCGATTGGAACAAAAAAAATCCTATATACGCTTGTGTGTACTGGACTTGGAATTTCTTCTACTTTCGCATCCCGTTTGCGATCTTCTCGGCCAACATGTACAAAGTGCCTTGTGGATGGCCTGGAATACTGAAAGGAACCACCGAGTTATCAACAACGCGCAATCCCTTGACCCCGAACACCTGGCCCTTGGAATCCACAACTGCGCCATCCTTCGCAGACTTACCCATTGCGCATGTTGAACTTGCGTGCCAGATTGGCTGTGCAGATTCTTTGATAAATTTCAAGATATCCGCATCAGACGAAACTGCTTCACCAGGGACAATCTCTGGACCAACAACAGAGTTGGCAATGGCGCGGCTGTTCCATGCTTCACGGACGCGCTTGAATGCCGCAACGAGGATTTCTCCATCGGCAGGATCAGTCAACCATCCCAAGTTGATGACTGGTGGATCGGAAATAGATGCGCTACTGATTGTGACGTTTCCTCTTGACAAAGGGGTGAGCAACGTAGCACTAATCGAACCAATGGTCGGGTAGTCTTGGCTGCCACTGGGAAAGCCGGAAGCAATGTACTCGATCTCTGGCCAATCCTTGGGGAAACCGGCCAGCAACTTGGCCGTACGAGATGTGAAATTCGCACGATTCTTGGGTGGAAGCTTTTCAAAAGAGAGATAGCCTCCCGCAGAGCTGTATGGACCCGAGGCGTTGGAGTAATATTGCTGTAATGCAACGGACACTTGGGCGGGTGTGCTGAGATACGTGCCAGTGTTTGGGACATTGAAACCACGTAGTACATTGAGGAAAATCTGGTCCCAGAGATTCTGACCTACGCCTGGAAGGTTGGAAACGACTGGAATGGAGTGTTCAGCAAGAATATCTGCAGGTCCAATACCTGCATTGAATATTAGCACGTCTGTGCCTCTTGACGAGAAAGATGTTGGAATAGTTTACCGGAGAGCATCAGTAGCTGTGGTGAATGAAACACGCCTGCTGAAATAATAACTTCCTTCTTTGCAGAAAGCACATAACTAGTGCCATTTGTGGTTACGGCTACACCGGTTGCCTTTTTACCATTATCAAATAGGACTTTGCCGGCTTGAGAACGCAAGTAGACGACTGGACCTGATGAAGCTGAAGCGAGCGTATCGATATAGCTACTCTTCGAGGTGCTTCTGGTTGCATTCTTTGGATCAATTGTCGTAGGTACCCAAGCGCCTCCATCCAATGCTCCACTGCTAAGTCCTTTGATACTGAGTTTCATACCAATGTCTTGTAAAGCACGTACGAGCCAACTTTGTGCAGGCTGAAAATTTCAAAGTATGGGGTCAGTTCATGTCTCACAAGCTTCTTGGCTGAATAATTAGACTTACGTCGACCCAGTTCGCCCATGACACCTGCAGCGGACCACGCAGCGAGTTATCAAATGCTGAAGGATCATATTGCACCGTAGCATTTGGCGCTTGTCGCTTCTCCAAGTTCGGCGGTGTGAGCGTGCTGCTCTTCTTGAAAAACGGAAGGACCTTGTCAAAGACATAGCTCTGGTCTCCCACTAAATCAGCCCAGCGCTGATATGAGCCGATAGTTCCTCGGTGGTAAGACATGGTGTTCAGCGCCGAACTTCCTCCCATCGTCTTGCCCTGCGCATAGTGAATACGCCGGTTACCAACCGAGGGTTGCGCAGCAGCTAGCAAATCCCAATCTACAAGAGGCTGACGAGGATAGTCCTCTGCGGTCCCGAGAACAGGCATTATGAGGCCGAAGTACGGTACTACGGATTGGTTTCCATTGTCCTGCTCGTAGAACCCGCCGGCTTCCACGACAGCGACGGACGCAAAAGCAGAGAGCCGTGTGGCTAAGGCGAGCCCAGTCGTACCACCGCCAATGACTGGTTATCTCAAAGTCAGATTACAGGACTACTCCAAAGGACATTTTCTGTGGGAACACAAGTATTGAAAGATTTCCGTACCCACGTAGTCATAAGAAGCGTTCCCAGGTGTGCCTTCACGGATCGCCGCTGCTTGCACACTCGTGATAGAGACGAAGCTTAGCGCGGCAACACTAACCCAGCGTGTCATGCTCGGCAGATTAAACGTGAACGTTCTTGGAGCACTCATCACAGGGCTTAAGTCGTACTAGTAAACAGTTAATTACCCGACTAAATTTCCTTTGGGGGCGCGGATCGCAAGGCAATAGGAAGGTGGATAGTAGTAGTGGATAATTCTCGAAACAAAAAAGAAGGAGGCGCAAAAAGCGAATTGTTCTCTTCTTCCCTAGTGTTCCTTCGCACACCGCTGTGCAACCTTGGACTTGGGTTCTTTAATGAGAGGGAATACAATAGACCTGGGGGCTGGGTCCCGCTCAACCAGCTGAGTCGTGTGCCGTCCTGTGAAGGGCCGACCACAAGCCCACACCAATCACAGAGAAACGGAGACTTACAGATACAGGTACCGGCATATTGGAGGCTTGCATGCACATGTTCCCATATCTCCGGCGCGCATGAAAGACGTACCGCATCGCAGCATTCGCAGCGCCATGTAAGGCGCGTACTCCGTTCGTGGCTTTTTTCTTTTCGTGTCCAGTCCAGCCCGCCAGCACCCGCCCGCGAGAGCGCGCTTGTGGAGAGGGGGACCGTCCAGACCCTGTGCCGCAAATGCATGGGTCGCAAGCGTGGGTTCTGCACGCTCCCCTGCACACGGAACTGAAGAGCGAGAAAAAGCCCCAATGTCGAGAATACGATGCATATCTTGTCAGATGTCGGTCTGTTCAGCGTGAACAATGGAGAGTTTGGGGTCGAATTGCGTTATTCGGCCGTAACACGCCCACCCCTTGCCCCCTTTCTCCCTTTCTGGAACCAGGTCCATGGTCTCTGGGACCTGTATTCGGCGCGTATGTATGTAGTCAGCCTGTGTCGTGCTTCTACGATCTAGATTATTTATAGAGGCTGATTTGGAGTAGTTTGGAGTCTTTGCTCGGAACCAAGCTTTTGCTGACAGCAGTAGCACGTGGGTGGCTGTTTCGTACTACTCGCATGTGTCGATGTTTGTCAAGTCAGGCGAAACTGAGCAGTGACCTTTTTGTGTGAGTCGCGGATAGCTGATATGGGGTTTCGAGTTCTTCGACAGTGGTCCATGCAGTGTCTATCATTCCTCTCCCCAGAAGGTATAATCGTGTGACTTTGGCTTGGCGGAAAGGGCTTCGGGCCGTGTTTTGTGGTACCCGGCACCGTATCCGTTGCAACGTCTTTGTCAGGTGAAATGCAGGTATGTAACGTCACTGTAAGTGTTGGCAACTCGGTTCGAATCGACTTCAACTCCATTGGTTGTTTACGCAAGGGGTTGGGTGAGTGCTGTATCTATTGTATCCTACGACTTGTGTACAGCATTGTTGCATTTTCATATTACATAGAAATCAGATTATTTACTACCCGACCAATACCTGTCAAATCACAATGCTACCAGTGTACAATCCCAACGCCGATGTTTTTGTTACTCTAAGAAGAAAAAGCCACCGCACACATTCTAGTTGCACGCCGTCGCCCTCCTTTTGTACAATATACATCTGCAATTCACCAACCAGCCCAATACCGCGCAAATCCAATCCCTCTTGCCTACATCAAAATTGACTTTTCTGTCATGATTATCGCCTTAGTTTTGTCCAATACGGCGAACATGTCCTCGTCTTCCTTGATGCGCTGCCCGCCGCTTCCGTTCATGACAGCAAGGCATTGCTGTATATGCAGCTCGTCTCGAAATGTCATTTCGCTGACTGCGTCCCACCCCAGATCCTTTGGTTCTCCAATAAGGACAACGGGGTCTTCAGGATCAGCTCGTCCCGTCATGGAGGTTACTGCTCCTAATCGATCTCCAGTTCCAGAGCTGACTCGCTCGGTGTAGCTAAAGAGTGAATACTCATCAGCGCTTGTTTCAAGCAGTATGTGCGGAATGATCCTTACCGTATTGTGAACGATACCGGTTTGTTTTCGCTGAATACTTCTTGATATATGGGCAGATGGACTTTTTCGATGTGCGATTGGAAGTCCTCCGGTGTTACTTCGGGACGACGGGTGTAGAACACCAACACCGTGACTGTCATGATTGCGGTGCCACGGGGTGTTTGAAACAAGGCCTGCTGAGGAGGAAAGACCAAGTGGTATCGCTAATAAGGACAGAGTTGAAATGCAATGCGGGTTGCAGATGATCGTAAAAGGCGGGGAATAACAGCTGTTTTGGACCTGTCCACGACGAAGCTATGGGCGGAATCACACGCCGGTTTATGTTTTTTTAAACTATTAGCACATGATCGGCTTACCGTCAATGCACAAGCTACGCTCCAAAAGGGGTTCGACATGCAGTGACTGCGCCGAAAGTTTGAGGCAAATCATCACACATACCTGGCGATCAGAACCACTTGTTGCCTCGTACGTCGTGGCGGGTAGTGGGGCACATAATGGACGATTCGCTCAAGGCAAGTCAAACGGCTGATACTGACTCTCGATTACTGTTTCCTGTTCTCCTTGCTTCTTTTCCATGGAGCTAGCTGTGGCACTTGACAATTGGCCTGTTTTCGAGACTGTGCCGCACTCCAAAATCAATATTCCAAGACTTATCAGTGGGTACTGTTGTTTTACAGTACCCAAATCGCTGTCGTTCAATTGACGGTTCCCGCTCGTCGGAGTCGCAGCGACCCCTTGCATAGTAAGTATAGGGGGGTGGTGAAAAACCAGTTTGCCATCGGGGCTGGGCAACGGCGACAACGGGCGGTGGGTTGGGAAGCCTATTACCCCCTTGATGCCAGCACTCCAACATCGCGAGAGATAAGATAATAAAAAAGAGCCGCGTCGGCGGCGTACGACGTCTTGTAGTCGGCATCGGAGCATACCCCGTACCCCTTTTGATCGCTGGTGGAGCCCGCGCACCGATTCCGAAGTGGGTCTAGAAGATTAACTGAATTGGACACCAACATTTTCGCACCATACAACTAAGAAAGACGAGAGGCTTCAATTTGGTTCAGACATGAAAAAGTCAACCCTGAAGCGTCCATTGATGGGGTGTTTGGTGCACTACCCCGCGTTGTGAGGGGTAGCGGACTATTTGCCACCGAATCATCCGTCCACATGCTCGCAGCGACACTCCACGGGCCGGACCGCGCATCCGAGCGTCAAGATGGTACCTCTGCTCATCTTGAGATATTTTGAGATGAAAAGAGCGGCCAAGGTTCAGTGGCGTTGACACTTCTCGCTGAACATTGTCTACAATCACAAGTCGACCGAGAAGATGAAGTTTCGCGATGGTACGTATGATTGCAAACGGTCAACATTGATTTATTAAAGTTTTGGCTAATATAACCCAGGGATGTGGCTGGTCAATGACCGCTTTACAGTCCAGCATGCAGAGGAAGTATACACAGTTACCCCTCGCGAAGACAACAAGGCAATCACACTGCTCTGTCCGAGTAAGAAGATCTTGTCTCGGGGCGATACCCTTAACCTGAGCACAATATCCGTGGAAGTCGAAGCCCAGTTTGATGGCGTCATCTCCCTCGAAGTCACGCACTTTGCCGGCGCAAGGCGTCTCGGTCCGGATTTTGATCTCTTCCCGGACGGGAAGCCGGAATGCAAGGGTGAGATTGTCAAGAAGGACAAAGGTACTACAATCACCTCAGGGACATTGAGCGCCACTGTCAGTTCCGATGAACACACTTTTGATATCAAATTCCACGCCACCGATGGAACGAAGTCGTTGACCGCGCTTGGCCACCGCAGTGTAGGCCTTGCCTATTCACCGGCTTTGAGCACACCCAAAACTGCTGGAGACCTAGGTGCTCACAAGCACTACATGTTCACTCAGACTGACTTGGGTGTTGGTGAAACCATTCATGGGCTTGGCGAGCGTTTTGGTGCCTGGAACAAGGTCGGCCAAAACATTGAGATTTGGAATGAAGACGGCGGTACATCAAGTGAACAGGCCTACAAGAATGTGTCATTTTGGCTCAGCTCAAGGGGATACGGCGTCTTCATTGATACTCCTGATAAGATTGACCTGGAAATTGGAAGCGAAAGGTGTGCTAGACTACAGACTACAGTGGAAGGGCAACGATTGAAATGGTAAGATTGCCAGATACTTGGACATGACAATGACTGACTCTTAAAGGTATCTCATCTATGGTCCTACCCCAAAGGAAGTTCTCACAAAGTACTCCATCCTTACTGGAAAATCGAATCGTGTGCCTGCATGGTCGTATGGACTGTGGCTCAGCACGTCTTTCACAACTTCCTACGATGAAAAGACTGTCCGCCATTTCGTTGAGAAGATGTCCGAATCCCATATTCCCGTCGAAGTCTTCCATTTCGACTGCTTTTGGCTCCGCGCTTTCCACTGGTGTGACTTCATCTGGGACCCTGAGTCCTTTTCCGACCCTGCGGGTCAAATCACACGCATGAAAAAAGACGGGCTCATCAATAAGGTCAGTGTCTGGACAAACCCATACATCGGTCAAGCAAGTCCTGTTTTCCAATATGCAGCCGACAAAGGCTACCTGCTCAAGAAGACAAACGGCGATGTATGGCAGTGGGATCTCTGGCAGACGGGCATGGGTATTGTCGACTTCACGAACCCCGAAGCATGCGATTGGTTCAGGGACTGCATGGAGAAGCTTTTCGAGGTCGGGGTCGACTCCATCAAGACCGACTTTGGCGAGCGTATTCCCACAAAGGAGGTCCAGTGGCATGACAAGACTGTGGACCCGAACCGCATGCACAACTACTATGCCTTCATCTACAACAAGATAGTCTACGAGGCAGTTCAGAAGCGATACGGAAAGCACGAAGCTATCCTTTTTGCACGCACAGCATGCGCTGGCTCCCAGCGATTCCCACTTCACTGGGGAGGTGACTGCGAGTCTACCCCTGCTGCGTTATCCGAGTCAGTACGCGGGGGTCTGAGTCTGGGACTTGCATCATTTGCATTTTGGACAAGCGACATTGGAGGGTTCGAGGGCAAGCCACCCCCTTGGATTTACAAGCGCTGGGTTGCATTTGGCCTGCTCAACTCTCACAGTCGACTTCACGGCTCAAACTCGTACCGCGTGCCGTGGCTAGTCGACGACTCTTCTACAAAGCCCGAGAACTGTACTGATGTATTGCGACATTGGGTGCAATTCAAGCGCAGCCTGATGCCATATCTCTATGCTCAGGCTGAGGAGAGCATCGCAAACGGTTGGCCGACTAGTGTTCGTGCGGTGGCTTTGGAATTTCCAGATGATCCCACATCCTGGTACTTGGATCGCCAATTCATGGTCGGTAGCCAGATTCTGGCTGCTCCGGTCTTTGAAGAAGATGGTACCGCTGAGTTCTATCTTCCGCCTGGTCGTTGGTTCAACTTCTGGGATGGCAACGTAGAACAAGGTGGCCGATGGCTTAGGAAAAAGTATGGGTTTCTCCAATTGCCATTGTTCGTTCGTGAAGGCACAGTGTTGGTGCTCGGACAAACTGAAGGCGAGGGCGGCTTCGGATACGATTGGTTCGCTTGTGACGGCGAGGTTGTACTCTACGGCGTAAAATCAGGTGACAAAGCAGTGTTGGTGGATGCCAAGGGCGAGCACAAGGGTATCCTAGAGGTCGACGACAATGGCGAACTCAAAGGAATGGACGTGCTGAGCGGGGTTTGGAAAGTCACAAAACTGGGATAGTAAAGGACAACATAGCGCTAGTTTGTGAGGGGGTCCTGCAGTTCCGCGGGACAACACTCGCTATGCAACATAGGGATCCAACCTTTAGGATTTGGACCGCAGTCATGTTTGCTGCATCTTTTGAGTGCTGAGCCGTCCAGGCTCTCACTGTGCATGCTGCCTATTGGCGGAAATTCAACATTAATCCCCGTCCATCCCACTACTGCACCCCAACATCATTCGACTCTCCCCCCCGGATTTAGTTTCTTAGTGATCGGCATCCCGCACCCTCGCCAAGCCGCACGTTAGAAGCTTATGATGGGCAAATTGTTGGAAACTAGGAGCGGGCTTCCGGCTGAATGCTTGGTGTGCAATACTGGTTGGATGGCAGCATGACCAACATGCATCGATACTTTGCGTCTCGGGGCAATTGGTACCTTGGCCAGCAGCTTCTTAAAAGCCGCGGGGATACCAGCAGTATCGAGTTATTCTTTCTTCCTTGTCAAACTGATTCGAGGACCAGCGTCAAAAATGGGGCTGTTTTTCAACTTGGCCCTTGCCATTTTTGCAGGCACGGGCAGTTTTCTCTTCGGATACGATTCAGGAGTGATGACCATTGTTATTCAATCTGAAAACTTTCTTGATTTCTTCAGAACAGATGTCTCATCGCCGATTATAGGTGCTGTCAATGCTACGTTTTCGGGCGGAGCTTTTTTCGGCTCGTTGATGTAAGGGCGGAGCTTTTGTGGAAGAGGCGAGTTATATTGACAATTGGCAGGGGTGGGTTTACTATGGACAGCGTGGGCCGGAGAAAGACTATTATGATCGCCGCTTCCATTAATCTTGTTGGTGCAATCCTTCAATGCGCCGCACAAAACCTCGCCATGATACTGGTTGGGAGAATCATGGCCGGATGGGCGGTAGGTCTGCTGTCCATGTCAGTGCCCATTTACCAAACGGAATGCGCTCATCCGAAGACACGAGGTCCGTACCAACAAGAAAATGCTGAGTTGCTCAAAACTAAACTGGATAGGTCTTATCACTGGAGTTACTCAGCAGATGATTGGAGTAGGGTTTATCATCTCGACCTGGGTGGGATATGGCTCCTCGAAGGTGCCCGTTACGAATTCTTTCTCTTGGCGTTTCCCACTTGCATTCCAGTGCGTCCCATGCATAATTCTCATTGCTGGCATATTGTTCTTCCCGGAGTCCCCGAGATACCTCGTCGAAACAGACCGAGCAGATGAAGCGCTGAGAGTACTTCGGAAGCTGCACTACGATGGAACCAACGATGATTGGGTTCAAGCTGAATTCAATGAGATCAAGATAACCAGTGATGCGGAGCGAGCAATCTCCGCACCAGGATGGAGAATCATGTTTACGGTACCTGTGTGGCGCACGAGATTGATGCATGCTACGCTTGTGCAATTTTTTGGGCAGATGACTGGGTACGTTCTTTCTAAACACTTACCCTTTGCTTCAAACTGACATCAATGCAAGCATCAATGTCATCGGCTACTATAATACGATCCTTTACAAAAACCTAGGCATCACTGGCGATAAGAACCTCCTTGTAACGGCTTTTTACAACCTTGTCGGCCCCATTTGCAACCTCTTCTTCATCATCTTCGTCCTCGACCGCGTCGGACGTAAGAAGCCTCTGCTCTTTGGCACTATCGGTATCTCTATTGCGCTCATCTGCGAGGCCATCATCGGATCCCAGGTCGAAGGAGCTACGGGATCTCGAAGAGACTCATTATCTGGTGCTGGCATATTTTTCCTGTTCCTCGTCTCATGCATTTTCAGCGTATCATTCGGTCCCATCTCTTGGGTTTATGCTTCCGAAATCATGCCACTGAGTATACGTGGACGCGGTTCGGCGTTTTCGACAGCAGTCGGTAACTGGCTGGTGGGCACAATCTGGAATCAGGTCTCGCCGATTGGCTTGGATGATATTACCTATAGATTTTACTTTATTTTCGTGGCCTTTAACATTTGCGTTACGCTACCTACGATTTGGTTTGTCTTCAAGGTACGTGTGTATTGAATTTAGAGATGGAATCACATTGCTAATTGGTGTTGCAGGAGACTAAGCAGCTTACGCTGGAGGAGATTGACTTGCTCTTTGGCGACGAGGACATGGGTACGCTGGCTGGTGGCTTGGACGATAAACAAAAGCAAATCGAATTGGAACGCATTGCAAGCGCGAAGAAGCATTTGGCTGGCTCCAGGATCACTGCTGTACACTAGATGAATATGGCCCTCGATTGATAGGCGACATTACGGGAGAGCCTCGCTTCGGTACCGTAGTTTCAGCTTTGGCAAACTCATCTTTGACAGCGAACTTATACAGGATTATACATATCCTTAGATAGTGAAAGAAATTGGCTCCTTGAACCAGAGTTCACATGATAAATTGGGGGACTGATTATTGCATCACGTGCTTGGCTAATATATGAACCTACCTTGCTTGAGATCCGACACATCACTTCAGATATACATCTTCAGACACGAAAACAAAGCTGATACATAACAAAAAACCTCCCTAAATTGAAGACAATGCATCCATATATTCAAATGGAAGGTCTCTGTGATCAATTTAGATCAGCAATGAATAGGCCGGGCAGCTTACTGAAGAAGAAAACCCTAGAATGCTCATTTGAAGCATTTTTGTGAGCCCAGAATCCTATCTAAATGCTAAAGTCGTGGAACTCGCTAACAAGGTTGAAATAGTTGGAAACGCAACCAGCGTGAGTCGCCTTTGCTCCGGCTTCCAGCAGAGGTGCGCTCAATGGTCTGGGAGTATGTCTTTGGGGGCTATCATATATATGTATACCCGAGAGAGATGTCGACATCAAGCGTACATGGGATACCACAAACCATTAGCTCTGGAGTTTGGCTTGAATTTCAGAGCGAGGGCACGGTAACTCGGGATTAAAAAATGAGACACCGTCGCATCTTGAGGCTGATGACTGTGTGCCGCCAAATCTTTATGGAAGCAGTTTTGCTCCCGTTTAGGCTCAACACCTGGCACATAGATTCCAGATACCTCAAAACTCTTATTTCTCATGGAGAGGACTACCCAGTAAGACCAAGGGAGCTAATAACATCGGTTGTCTCCTACTCTACAGTCGGTTCTACCATCAGCGACAAGGACATTTTCCCGAACCTGACGACAGTGTTTTTGCGTTACGCATACCACCACGGGTGGTTTTTCAGTAATTGAATAGACAAGGACGATGCGAATTTCATATGCCAAGGTGGGAAATATCACGAAGAGATATGGTTCAGGTTCACGAGGATAAAACAGGGTGATATGTGGCAATGCCATGGCGAAAGTTTACAAATTATACCAGTGCTTTTTCAAGCGGGTGAGTTCGGAGCTATAGGATATCGTAGATGATACAGGCGAGCGGAAACTGTTATTCAAGAGCTATTTTGACAGATCTGCTTTGATAGGGACTAAGACCAAGACTAGGGGACCGCTTCGGCTTTTGAGTTATCATTGCTCGCTTACATCACTCGAATTTAGACATTTTTGAGGCCACTCGGTTCACTTACTACAACATTCTTTATGGGATGTTACGGCTATCTGTGTGTGTATCCTATGGGTACATGCGGAATCTACCTGGCTATCGCTGCTAGGCCGCGGAACAATCCATGATTCGCACACCCGCAGGTATAAGGATATCGGTGGTTCGACAACGTGGCGAAGGAGTTCCAAGAGATCGAGAGCATTGCCTCTGTTTTTTCTTTCATATCTTGGTTTGGAGTACTTCCGAGGATTTCCATGGTTACAAAGAGAATACAAGAATGCAGCGAGAGTGGAGAGGGATAGTAGTTGAAGGGCAACTTGGGGCAGTCTTTTTGATTACAGTTATGTACCATAGCTTCCGCTTTGTTAAAGAAGATAAAAAAATTAGGTGTTTTTTTATTATTCCTTCTTTTCCTAAGAGCCTCGACACCAGCCTGCTTCAAAGAACAATTTGTGCCATGCACACTTGGTATTCGTTCAAGATGCGTTTTCTCTGCTTTCATTCGAGGTGTAATATAGCAGGAGTTTATGCAGAAAATAAAAAGTGCCGGAAATTGGCGGGTAAAGAAATTACAAACACGGAGTGAGTATCTTTGTTCTGTTCATCACGAGTGGCATATATGATTCACACAAAGTCTACAGACGAAGAAGACGCCAGAAGCAAAAATATGTCCAAAAAAGAAGATAGAGTAGCTGAAGCACGTTTCTAAATACTGTTAGAGATTGAATTCGAATGACTCATCGTGGGTAGGTATTGCTCACCGATCGTGCGTCCTCCGGGTTATGAGCCCGGCGCGCTTCCGCTGCGCCATTCAGCTTTTGAACTACCAATTGAACATGGAGAGTATATCGAATTACTTGCAATATAAATCAAAAAGAATTTGAGTTAGTGGATTAACGTGCCGCCGCCCAATCTTGAGACACATATTTCGATTCAGTGACTGGACCGCGGTGTGGGGGTGCGAACGCATTTTTACCGCTTGTTAGTGCGGTGGGTGTCGGTCAGTTGCGGCCATATAGGGATAGTGGGACGATTTTAGTTTACCATGGTAAGCCAAACGTAAGGGCATCAATGGGCTTGTCAGCGAATGGGAGAGGATACCGTTATGCCAGACTTGAAACAATGCTCTTGCATTATACTGGCATGGAGAGTCTTGTCCAGGCCAGAGGGTATGCCTAACTAAGCTTCAAGACTTTGCGTGCATAACGTCTGAAAAAGATTTTCTTCTGATTGGGGTTCAAAACGATTATCTCACAAGGCAAATAGTGACAATGGCGATTCTCGATGTTGCTCGTTGGTGTTGATGTTGGGGGCTCTGACATCGGATGGGTCCAGAAGCAGTTAGCGTAAAAACGCGCCTCCGCGCGACGCGTCGGTAGCGCTTTAGAATGCCTCCCCACGCCAGACAGTTAATTGACATTGCCTACACGGACCGATGAGTAGTTATTCACCAGGCATTCCCTCCTCGTTCGATCCTGCATTGCTCAACTCGGAACTCGAATTCATCCACGGCGCGCCTGCCACCCCCTCGTATTCCGACGATATCGACGCAATTCAGCAGTGCATCGCTGAAGACATTGATAAGAAGACCCGCGCAGGAGTCGTCATACAACACCGTGCCTGGAGAGTTGCAGACGTGTTTAGAAGTGAGGGTGAAAGACTAGTTGGTATTGCTGGTGTTAACATGCACTGCAACCAGTACTAATCCTCCCAGAAACACCCGCAAAGCGCCGCCAGCATTTGCCAGCCAAGCGCTGTCCTACTGACACAGCAACTGGAGGCTCGTCGTTTCCTTCTTCACCTCCAGTCTTCGCCATGCCGCTCATATCATCTCCTATTGCATATCCGCCCAGCTCATCACTGCCACAACCGCCGTCGCCAAAGAAGAGAAAGCGCCCAGAAGATACCCGCGAGCCGTTGCTAGATGTACCAAATAATAACACCACCCGCAAGATTGGCGGGTTTCTCGACGACTCAGATGATGAAGAGGACATTGCAGCGCTCCAGGAGCACACTTTGAAGAGGAGGGCAGTGAGCAGCATCAAAGATCTACCCGAAGTCCCAGAAGGATTTGCTGACTACACACCACCGGCAAGCCAGGATGAATTGGCGGATCCCGAATCGATACCAGTCGAGGAGCTCGACAACTACAGCTTCAAGTCGCAGTCACAATCGCCCGTCAAGCGACCGTATACGTCACATGAACCTACTTCGGCACAACCTATGCGCGGCGTGGTGGCTCGTAACGCAGCTGGAAAAGTAATATACATACCGAAGAAGGCAAAGCGCCAAGTCGAATCATATGAAGAAATCATCGCCGCACGCTCAGAGCCTGTTCAGGGAAAAGCGAGGACCAGTTACTATGGGCTCAACATTCACCAATTGATGGACGAGGCCAAGACGCTGGATCAGGAAAAGGCACTGAGCAACTCGATGAAGAATCTCGAATTACCCCAACACTCCGTCGAAGAACCTGTCAGTAAAAGTGGGAAGAGCAGTCGTACACTCATGTGGACTGAGAAGTACAGGGCGAAAAAGTTTACAGATTTAGTTGGAGATGAAAGGACACATCGATCCGTACTGAGATGGCTGAAGGCTTGGGATCCTATCGTCTTTCCAGGATCTGTCAAGGCAAAGCCCAAGAAGGCAAAGAATGGGTTCGAGGAGGATGAGCAAAGGCACCGCAAAATTCTACTATTGACTGGCCCTCCTGGACTTGGAAAAACTACCCTTGCTCATGTTTGTGCTCGGCAAGCGGGCTACGAGGTTCAAGAGATTAACGCATCCGATGAGCGCAGCGGGAACGTCGTCAAAGGCCGTATTCGAGATATGGTAGGAACTGAGAACGTCCGCGGTATCAACACCAACACAGCAGACGGCAAAGTCCGTAAAGCGGGCAAACCGGTGTGCGTGGTGGTCGATGAAGTAGATGGTGTAGTGGGAAGTGGCGGCTCGGGCGAGGGTGGCTTCATCAAGGCCCTAATCGACTTGATCAATCTGGACGAGAAAAATTCAAAAGCACTTGGACAGGGACAGTCAAATACTGGAACCAAGAAGAAGAAGGGGGACAGATTTCGACTATTACGGCCACTCATCCTGATCTGCAATGATCTCTATCACCCCTCGCTACGGCCACTACGACAGTCGTCACTGGCCGAGATAGTGCACATCCGCAAACCTGGCCTCAACATGGTGGTTTCGCGCATGCAGGACATATTCACCAAGGAAGGCATCCAATGTGATTCTGACGGTGTTCGTCGGTTGTGCGAGGCTACATGGGGAGTGAGCACAAAGAAAGAGGGTGGAACGGGTAGTGGTACAGGCGAAGGTGACATCCGTGGCATCATGGTAGTCAGCGAGTGGATAGCAGGACGACTACGAGCTACACATGGTTACAAGTCCAAGGAACCGCCACATCTATCACGGAAATGGATAGAAGACAATCTCATCAACGACTTGAGACATGGCGGAGGAGCTACTCGCAGTCTGGGACGAGGTGGAGCGAAGGATGTAGTCGATCGCGTCTTCCGCGAAGGCGCTGGCTTTCCCAAACAAGCTGAAACTACTGATCCAGCAACGGCATTAGCGAGAGCGAAAAGCGGTGTAATTGGTGTTGCTGAAGCGGCAAAACGGCGCGCTATGGATCGTCTTAGGGAGATGGTCGATACAAGTGGCGATTGCGACCGTGTTGTGACTGGTGAGCTTGCTAAAGTACTGGATACTGAGGGTGTACTAACGATGAACAGACTGCTTCACCGCATACCCTGAGAAGCCTTTCCAAGACGACACCTTTCTCAGCAAACCCAACGCAGCCTACGAATGGTTGCATTTCCACGACACCATCAACGCAGCTGTGCATGGCTCACAGGAATGGGAACTTGCACCCTACCTTTCTAACTCTGTGTTGGCATTCCACGACCTATTTGCCTCACCCATTCGGTCAACTACGAATCCCGTAACAGATCCGGATGCACAGCCAACTCCCTTTTCCGGTCCTGGTGCAAGCTTTGCTGCAATGGAGCAGACCAAAGCCAACCGGGCTCAGTTGATGGCACTGCAAACAACTCTAAGCTTATCTCTGACTCGCATGTTTCGAAGTCCAGAAGAGATGGCCATGGAGTTGATACCCTATGTCTTACGAATGTTGTCGCCAGACGTCAAACCTATTCTCGTCAACACCGGTGCTGCAGGATCAAAATCGTTCGCCACAGCTTCAGTACGCAAAGCTTCAGAGAAAGAGTTGGTACAGAAGGCTGTCGAAGCCATGGTCGCAACTGGAGTACGTTTTGAGAAATCCAGAATCGAAACAGAAGAGGCCTCGCACAGGAGTGGAGGCTTCATTTGGCGCATGGAGCCCGCCCTCGACGTCCTAGCCACCTTTGAGACTCTCGCGAGCAAAAAAGACGAAAAAGCACGCTACGCTGTCCGCAGTGTCCTGGAGCAAGAATGGCGGAAAGAATCTGCGCTTCGGGAACAGGCCAATCGCAAGCGCCGCGGAGGTCAAGATGAGTTTGATGATGACGCAGAGGCAGGGAAGAAGGAGGAGATGACTACCGAAGAGAAGATTGCTGCAGTAAACAAAAAGGCTGTCAAGCGTGACTTCTTCGGACGAGTAATCCAAGAGACGGATGCGAGCAAGAAGGAGACGAAGAGGCGGCAGGATCTTGGGGAGATGCAGGGAGACGTGGGAAGGATATGGGTATCGTTTCACGAAGGTTTCTCGAATGCAGTCAGGAAACCTGTCACTATTGACGATATTATGCGAGACCTGTAAGCTTCGGGCCCGTGTTTGGATATTTCCCAGTTATGGTATGGATTACGAATTCTGTACATTGTCCTCTCTGGATCGCTTGCGTTGATGTCATGTACGCCATGGTACCACAAGGTTTACTCGGCTCTCCACACCTGCCCTATAGGGTAATTTTATCGTTACTTATAACCAAAGTAAGGAGAATTGGTAATACAGTAGTACATTATTTAGCACAGGGCTAGCCAACTGGACGAGAGCCTCCCCACTTTTCCGCCCCGTCCTACGCCCGTACAGGCGAGCTGGCCATGACACCGCCTTGATAACAGCCGTCGTGCATTGGCAGCCTGAAATTTTAAACGATATAATGGCATTTCTTGGCAGTGATGTGCAAATATAATTTGCGCTCAAACGCCCTTGTTTTTGATTCTAGCCATTGTACAGTATACAGCTCACTGTTTGTAGGCAAAATAACCCTGTAGTAGCAATCCCACGATGGCCCCACTCTTACTCTACTGGGATTTCTACTCGTCCTACCTCAAGTGCTCCCTCAACCTCGCCCTCGCCCGACTCTACACACCCCAGAACCCTCCCCAGCGCGATCTCACGGGCCAAACCGCCATTGTAACCGGAGCAAACAGCGGCATTGGACTATGCATCGCCGTCCGCCTAGCCCGACAAGGCGCAACCGTCTACCTCGCCTGCCGCAACCAAGCAAAAGGCGATGAAGCCGTCGCCCACATAAAATCCCAACTGGGCTCTTCCTCGGGCAAAACCGCAAACATCTTCTGCTGGACCCTCGACGTAAGCGACATGTCCAGCGTCCGCGCCTTCTGCTCCCGCTGGCGCACCCAAGCCACCCCCATCGACATCCTCATCCACAACGCCGGCATCCCCGACGTCCCTTCATCCCAGCGCCGGTACACCGAAACCGGCCTCGATGTCATCTACGTCACCAACCTGCTCGGCTCCTTCCTCATGACGTCCCTCTTGGAGCCCTTGCTCAGTCCCACCTCACGCACGGTTTTCACCAGCAGCGTGAGTTCCTATCTCGCTACCGACACTGTTTTACTGGCGCGTCCCCCGCGGCCAGACCACTCGAAACGGAGCGTTCTAGTGCGGACTTGGCATCGTGTCCGCGCTGCCTTGGGGCTGCGGGATAGCGCGGCGCTGGTGTATGGACAGACGAAGGCGCATCAGATCTTGCTTGCTAGCCTGTTGCAAAACCACCTCGATGCTTCGTACCCGGACAACAGGCGCACGGTGCATGCCTTCTCCCCCGGGTTCACGCAAAGTCCCATCTTCACGAAATTCGACATGACGTGGCGCACGTTGCTGTACGATCCGGCGTTTTCGTTCTTGTACTACAGTGAGACGGTTGTGGCGACGGAGACGGATGAGGGGGCCAAGACGGGGGCGTGGCTTGCGGCTTGTGGAGGAGAAAGTGGCGTCGAGGGCGGGAAGTACTGGGAGGGGATGAAGAGCGAGGTTAGTGTGATTGAGTATTGGAGGGGGAGACTGGGGGAGGACAAGTTTAAAGAGGTTGCGAGGGGGATTTGGAAGGTGTGGGAGGAGGATGCGGGGTGTGAGTGGGATATCAAGTTTTAGAGTTGTATGAGCAAAGATATTGACATGAGAATTTGAAAGATATATACGTAAAAGGGGTCTTTACATTCGTCAGTATCCTAGCGTGCACGTTTGCTTCTGCCTCGTCTTCTTCTTCTTCTTCTTCCTCTCCCCCCTTCTATCCGACAAAATCTTCTCTTATATCTCCTTTCAACTATTGCCACGAACTATTCACACTAGCACTCGCCTGGCAGCTTGGCGCGGTGTACGACCGGTTAGGATCACTCTCCCAAGTGACAGTTCCTCCACTGTTGATCTTGACAAACTTGTACGAGATGGAGGATCCAGCAGCCAGTGGCACGGTAATAGTCCAGATGGGGTTGCTGGAGGTGTAGCTAGCTGCGGACAAGGTGAGGCCGTTGGCGGGAGTCCAGTTACCGAGTTGGGCGGTGTTGCCAGTGATTTTGATGGTGTCTCCGGGGACGGTGGTGACGCGGTGGGTGAAGGAGACAGAGACGGCGGTGGGGCATGAAGTTGATGTGGCGGTGGTGGTACGAGTGGTGAGGGTGGTGCCAGTGGTGGGAGTAGCGGAACCGGCGAGGAGGACAACGGGCTCGCCGTTTGTGACGGAGACGCAGATTTGTCCGTTGCCATCGGCAGTGACGGTGGCACCGTTGCCGTAGACGTTGGTCCAGCGGCCGTTGGCCTTTTGAGTGTTGAAGCAGTGCTGGGTGTTGGAGTTGCCGCCAGCGTTGGTGGTGAGGACAATCAGGTTGCCGTTGGCACGGCTCCAGGCGTAGGCGGTGTCAGCGACGTACAGGTGGACATGGTCGTTTCCTGCGAGACCACCAGCAGCCTGTCGGGCGGCGGTCAGTTTCTTGATGGCTTGGTAGAGGTTGGCGTTGGTGTTGAAGCCACTGCGCCACAGATCCTCTCGGTTAGCTGGGTCGTCACCACCAGCATATCCCTGCTCGGTACCATAGTACAAGATTGGGATACCACGTGCAAGAATGACATAGGCGAGAGCGTTCTTGAGCAGGGTCTGGTCGTTCTTGACATTCAACCAGCGCTTGTTGTCGTGGTTGTCGAGGAAGGTTCCCAAGGCGGCTGGGTCGGGGAAGGTGTTGCTAACAGTGTTCATCATGTCGACAAGCGCCTGGGAAGAGCCCTTTTGCTGGTAAAAGTTGTTCATCGGGTAGTAGACTGCGTAGTTGAGGAGACCGGGCATGAGCTTGGCGTACTCGGCAAGGTAGCTTGGGTTTCCGTCGAATACCTCGCCAATGTTGTAGACGCCGGTAGCGGCGGAGAAGCCAGGCCAAAAGTCCTTTTCGACGTGCTTGACGGTATCGATGCGGACGCCATCGAAGCTGTACTCCTTTACGAGCCAGTTGACCCAGGTGTTGAGGAGCGTGCGTATCTCGCTCTTGGTGGTGTTGATGTCGGGAAGTCCGGCAATTTGGCATATCTCAACACTGTTTTGGTTGCTGTAGTCGATGTTGCAAGCGGTGTGGTATGAGGACGCTTGGTTGAGAGGTTCAGGGCGGTTGTTTGTGATTGCTCCAGGACCCATGTGGTTTGCGACAACGTCGACCATCATGTAGATGCCCTATGATGAATAAGCATGTGTAGTATGGATATACCAAATCGGGACATACCTTGGCATGGGCAGCGGCGACCAGGCTCTTCAAGTCGGCAGCAGTGCCGTAGTTTGAGTTGACGGCATACAAGTCCTCGGCCCAGTAGCCATGGTATCCAGCAGCCTTGTCTACAAGTTACATTAGCACTGCTCTATGTTGGCACATATTGTGATGAACGTACTTGAGACGACGGGGGTAATCCAGATGGCATCGAATCCAAGTCCCTTGATGTAGTCGAGCTTAGACTCGAGGCCCTTGAAAGTTCCACCGCAGTAGTTGCCGAGGTTGCTGCAAGCTGAGCCACCCGTGTCACTGCTGCTGCGAGCAATACGATCCGTCAGGACAAAGTAGATGCTGCGTGACTTCCATGCATTTGTGTCTGCTGCAGAGACGATGGAGGTGATGTAGAAGAAGAGGGCGGTAAAGATCTTGAGCAACAACATCTTGAAGAGAAGGGGTGCTTCCCAGGTATGATGCTTGAAGGACTCTGATGAGTTGATGTCGACAGCAGACGAGGCCGAGGGTGGGATTTATAGATGTTTGATGAGGGTACGGGTACGCGAATAGCGCTCACGATCTTACGGCAACCCCACAACCCCAGACGAGAATCGGGTGGCGCTGACGATAATTGCTCGGTAGTATGGATGTGTATGCGAGATGGGCGCCGACAACGTTTGGATAGGTGAGCCAGAAAGAGTTTAGAAGCATAAGAGGAAGAGCTTGTTCGTCCGGGCCGTCATGAATCCATTCAAGGAGACGTGCCTAGGTGATGGGCTTACACATGAAGATCTGTCAGGCCGAGCGCAGGGTAATTGGCGTGAGCCTCGTGGACGAGTGAAACAAGGCCGTGGACTGGAGAGGGCGGTGCAGACGCCTATTCGGGCAGCTGGGGAAACGAGATGGCTGACTTGGAGCACACTCGCCCAGTCATCGTGTCCGGTCGCGTGTCATGTATCCGACGCGCATGGGACTGGTAGCCGACAAGAGGCTATTGAGGTTGGTAGGGGGAAATGAAGCGTGTCGCAAGTCGTCATGACGGTGGCGGTAGGGTAAGCGAGCTGATGTGCCTTGGGCTAGGGGGCTAACATTGCCATTCCCCCATCTCCCCCAGTCCAGTCCCCCCGCCTTGGACGGCACAGCAGCGTGTTTTTTTTTCAATTTAAGGTGCGGGCCGGGCGACGTTCTTTTTGTTCGCATGACCACCTGACAATAGCCTCTCCGCTGTCTGGCCTGGCAAGCTTACTTTTACTTCCGACAGCGATCCAATAGCCGCCCAGCCGGCCTCGCGTAGCTACGATGGATAGGGAAAGCGGCCGAGGTGTACTACCGTCCTCATGGCTGCTGGTCCTAGAGACGGACATGCGCCGGCAATGCGTTCCTCAAGCAGGCACATACGTCCCGCATACGGCAAAATTCCACGAATCTCCGCTCCTGTGTGAAAGTGCGGAGCCGGACAGGCTAATGCATGAAATTACGGCATGGCGCAGACTGCAACTCGCCAGCTTCGACGAAACCACCTAGGACCCCATGAGGGCGTGTAGACAGGCAAAAAAAATTAATTTGGGGAGACATGTGCCTGCGCCTATGCCGACTTCAATCCAATGAAAGTCTCTTGGACCGCGGCATCCATGCGAGCCATCACATGGCGTCTTAAACAGGAAACGAAACATGGGCATGTCCAAAAAGATGAGTTGAAGTTGATCATCGTGAAGGACCAAGGGCGAGTTTGTAGACAACCAGCATCGAATGATCTCGTGATTGTATTTATGTGTCGTGCCATCCGTTTGCTCGAGTCTTGATCACACACAACTTTGTTCTTCTCAAACGCATTTTTCAAGAGAGCATCTTCTGTGACTATGTTGTCCAAGATTTTACTGCCCGTTCTTACACTTGCAGCCAGTGCCAATGCGCATGGCTATCTCACTTCACCCATGAGCCGAACAGGACTGAATGCACAGGTAAATAGTCCCTCAACAGATCTGAACACCGCCACCAGATAGAGTTTCCTCACACTTCACAGTCTGGGGCCGACACGTGCCCCGAATGCACAATCCTGGAGCCGGTAACAGCATGGCCAGACCTTGACGCCGCAGCCGTTGGCCGCTCGGGTCCTTGCGGGTACAATGCTCGTGTGTCTGTTGACTACAATCAGCCTGGGCCTCGCTGGGGTTCTGAGCCGGTCATTACCTACAAGGCTGGGGATGTCGTCGATGTGCAGTGGTGCGTAGATGCCAACGGTGACCACGGTGGCATGTTCACCTACCGCATCTGCCAAAACCAAGCGCTCGTCGACAAGCTCCTGACCCCTGGATACCTCCCTACTGAAGCAGAGAAGCAAGCAGCCGAGGATTGCTTCGAAGCTGGAGAGTTGAAGTGCACAGACGTCCCTGGACAGACATGCGGATTCAACTCTGACTGCCAGCAAGGTCAAGCCTGCTGGAGGAATGACTGGTTCACCTGTGAGTTAGACTTCAATCCTTAAAAAAAAAGTAGTAGCACAGACTAACACAAGGTAGGCGGCGGCTTCAACGACAACACCAAATGCAGAAGCGTCGACAACGCCCCCTTGAACTCCTGCTACACCAGCATCGCAGGCGGCTACACCGTCAGCTCCAAAATTAAAATCCCAAACTACACAAGCAACCACACCCTCCTCTCCTTCAAATGGAACTCGTTCCAAACCCCCCAGGTCTACCTCACCTGTGCCGACATCAAGATCACAGGAAGCGGCTCCGGCACCTCTCCACCCCCTACCTCCAGCAAACCCCCTACATCCTCTTCTAAACCCACTTCCACTTCCACTTCTGCAGCAACAGCCACCGCCTGCGCGACCCCCCTCTCCACCGTCGCCGTAACCTTCAACTCCAAAACCAGCACCACCTTTGGCCAAACCGTCAAGATCGCCGGTTCCATCTCTCAACTCGGCAGCTGGAACACCGCCAACGCCCCCGCGCTGTCCGCAGCCCAGTACACGTCGGCCAACCCGCTGTGGACCACCACCATCAACCTGCCTGCAGGCACGAGCTTCGAGTACAAGTACATCAAGGTGGAGAGCGGGGGCGCAGTGACGTATGAGAGTGGTGCGAATAGGCAGTTTACTGTACCTAAGGGGTGTGCTGCGGGTGTGAGTGTTGAGGGGAGCTGGAAGTAGATATTTTTTTCTACGGCTTATGATTTAAGTAACTATGTATGTGGGGATAGGATAGGATTGAATTGAATTGAATGCGTTATGAAATGTGTGTGTGTGTGCATGTGTATAGTTTGCGTGGCTTGCGTGGTTAGGGGGGGGAGGTGAGAAGAGATTGACATTGACACGTGAAAGTCTGAGTTTGGGAAACACAAGGTGCATTACAGACATATGCGTCTGGAAAGCGCGCTAGAAGGAAATGTACCCCACAGCAGGGGAAATGGAAGAGGGAAGGTGCCAGGGCAGGGGCTGTTGCTATTCGTTTTGGTATGTGCCAAGGTATGCGGAGTAAGCGGATGTTGCTTTTGGGTTAGCGCTATTGGGAGGGGGGGTTATATGTGTAGTGAATACTGGGGTGTTTTTGCTACAGGTAGCGTTGTGCATAGAGAAGGGACGATAATGTTTCCATTCTTGGATGGAGGGGCCGAAAGAGAAGGAGGTGGGGTTAAGGGCTGCATGTCTACCCAACGCTTATTACAAGGTCTTCGTACGAGGTTTTCCTTACTACTACAAAATTCCTGACTCGGACTCTCCCATCTTCACTTTGCTTCCATCGGTACGGCCTCCCCCCCACCACTTCTTCACATGTGCCCACTCGCTTTTTTTTTATTCTATTAGCTCACTGGTCCTATAGTTCCATACTACATCACACCGTGTACACATCACTCCTCATCGCTAGTTCCAGGCAGCTACGAGCGGTCAGTCGTGTAGTAAGATTCCTTCATCAAGTAAAATATGTGATGGGGCTGGTTGTATAACAGGTAGCTACCGCAGCCAGGGAGGTGACTGCCAACCACATTGGAGAACTGCAGCTTCCCACAATCTCTACCGTATTTTGGATGGTTGCGGCAATGAGTACATTTACACAATATCAGGAGTCAACCCGTTCAAGCAATGTAGCCGTCTGCTGGTAGTATTGACCGAGCTGCTCCACTGTCCACTTGCCCGTGCACACGGCAAGAATAGCTTCTTGTATTGGTTGTTTCGCAGTAGCGGACGACTCCTTTAAGGACATCGTCCGGAGATTGTACCCGTTGATTTTCAAGAACAGGTCTGCTGCCAGAAGTGCTGTGCGTTTATTTCCGCTCTGGAAGGCGTAGTTTTTGATGATCTTCTCAGAGAGGCTTGCCGCAAGTTGGAACATGTTCTGTTCGTTAGTGTAGTGCTTGATGTTTATAGGTGACTGGACTGCTGACTCTAGCATGGCCAGTTGTGTGGGTTGAGAGGCCGTGATCATGGTGTTGTGGATACAGACGGCCTGGGCAGTGGTCAGGAAGCGCAGCTTCACGACGTTGGAGGCCATTATTGAGACGTTCTGTTGGCTTCGGTCGAATGAGAAGCCTGTATAAGAGCTTTGGAGCTTCGGCTTAGAGATTTACTTACTACGTCAGCAAGACCCTGCTTTACAACTCCGAAAAAGTGGTTGGTAATACCACCGATGCTTTGTTATAAAGTGACTTTGTGGCGTACAAGAACAATGCTGAGGAGCACTGAACGTGGGATTAGGTTAAACGTGTCAATCATGACTCTCATTGGCCTCATGTGGCTTTCTTTGGGCATAATCAAATCGAGCCCTTCCTTTTGTATGTTACACGACAGAGATATGCGACAGACATAGTAGTCCAATCGTATCCATGCTTTACTTCTTGGTGAACATCCTTCTCGTTTGAGGATCACATATCTTTCAACTTCTCAAGCGCCTATCCAAGTTCAGGTGGTGCCATACTAATGAGTTTAGCAAATCCCGCTGCCAATTTGTCAGCATGCACCGAATAAAAGCGCAAAGGCTTATGCTTGGTACCATCTGGGGTTCCGTTTAGAACAAGCGTATGCTGCACTCCATAAAGATACAATGTCGCCTGACTCGTGTTCGCATCGGATTTCAAGGGAAACTGTTGAGTAGCAACTAGGCGGGGCCCGTCAGGTGAGGAGTCTGGAGATTAGGATATTAGCAGTAATCAGACAACAGGCAGTGGTCTATTACCAAGCGCAAAGTACTGTGTGTCGTGGAAATATTTGAATGCAAGCCTTGGCGGGCGTCTGGGATGGGGTGGCACGATGTCAGAGGGGCAGCTACTAGCCTGTATAGCAAATTCAACTTCTGTGGGAATCAATACATAAGTTTCGCCCGGATCACTGATTCGAATAGAAACTTCTTTCGTGACAAGCTTGCCGTCTGGCTCGAGATTAGTGAACTCGCTTGTCGCAACGTGACAAGTTCTTGTAGTTGTGACATGTTAAAATGGCCTGACTGCAGCAGGAAAGAGCCTGGGAACAGAGAGAGGCTGTGTAATGGCTGTATATGCAGCTCGTGTATTCGTGGTCCGAAGTCTCGCCAATATGGAGAGCGACGGCATTTTCGGCTAGTCGCTGTCATACCGGTTCATGCAAGTAAGATGAGAATTGATCAAAGCGCGATGCAAATACCGGTCGCGATTCTGTGGCCCTAGCCCAGTTGTTTGCTGACTCGTTTCGGTTAGCGCAGGCTCGGCTCAGCGTTGGCGTATTCATGCTTCGATTTCCCTGTCATCATATATCTAGCGGTATAATTGCGCATTACGTTTTTATCTATGTTCTTCCTCCTTATATGCCCATAGCGCCTAATATCATACTTAATAAATAAAAAAGCTAGCAAACTTATAAGCAGCAGCTTTGCTCCTTCACGACACCCTCAGCGACCGCGACACTAGCACCTCGACTAAGTCAATAATTCGCCAATCATATACTCACGGTATCCTACCGCAACAACCATGTGCATCCTTTGAAATCCAACCCGCCAAGCTATCCCGAATCTAGCCGTCTCACCAAGAGGTAGAACATCCTTTGAAGGGATGCAACGATCTAGATACGTGAAATATTGAGAGTGACGATGGCGGGCCCAGTTAAGAGAGTTTGATCAAAAGCGCATAACTGGGCTCACGGCAGTTAAAGAGACAGCTATACACCATTAACTAAATAAAGAGCGCAGATGTAGCAGAAAGTAACTCTCAATTTGATAAAAGAGCCCCCCAACGACTATGAAGGAAGCTGGGGCGTTCAACAAGATCAGCTCTATTGTCACAGTACTCTAAAATAAGGCCTTAAAAGGCCAAATTTTGTGCCAATGAGGCTACAGTCATGTGTGTAGAGTATACGGTTCCACCCGTTCTTTGAGCAACTCCTTAAGTATTCATCTCAATTCACTCTGACTGATATACTTCGTGCATATCGGCAAAAACACAACAGGTCTACTTACTTTACTCTACCCATCTTACTTTATGATATCTCGGTAGATTGATTTAAGGGGTTTGTAGTAAGATAGGCCACTTCGATCAAAAGATCAAGGCGAGACGCGCGATTGAAGGAGATAGAAATAGCTCAATAGCAATGACCGGTATTTAGTTGATTGAAGAAGGTAGCCTATCTACAACGAAAAGCAACTCCACCACATGTTCACAGCCCGATCACGCCCTACTACACCATAATTAGATTCAAAATTATAACAGTAGATCAACTCTCGAATTGGTTGAAATGATAGGGATCGCGCAGGTGTGTACTACTTGCTATGTTTGATTGGTACGTACTATGCTTTTGCTTATTAACTAGTCCGAAGTGAGCCTAGCCTACGTACGTAAGTTTGAGCTTATCCTATATATAGTAAATGTATGTATACTTACATATTTGAACTGCTCCTATCTTACACTGCACAGTGATACAATGAAAACCCACCCGAACTACCATTGCCAGGCGCTACCTTCCTCTACACTTGGTTGATAGTTATGGTTACAGAGTAATGTCGCTGTGAAGAAGTGAGGAGACAGAATCCTGGGGCAGAGCAAAACGCGCTAACTGCCGGCGCCGGCTCGCCACGCGGCAAGTCTCCAAGCCACAAACATTCGCCAACACGACGACACTAGCAAGCTTGTACGAATCCTTCGCTCGATACAAGGGCCGACGCGCAAAATGTGGGCAGTTTCGAGGCCTTTTCGGAACGGCTACTTATCGATTCTCGTGAGTCCAGAACCGTGGTACGTTTGACCACAGCTTTTCGTGTTTCTTGTTGCTTGAAAGCGGGGATAGCCCAGTACGTACCATTACACTACCTGGGGAAAGCTGAATTCTCCACGTATGCACAGTAAGCTGACGGAGGCCGTACCGCTCGAAGAAGAAGCAAATCCAATGGCTACGATCTTGTTGTTGAACTAGACCATTACATAGCCTTGCCTTCCATGGGAATAGTCGATCGGCCCCCAAAACCGCCCCGGAACAGCGCTACAAGTCAGCCCATAGTTTCTGGTTTTATTGGCCAGCCACAGACGACGACGAACGTAATGGCGAACTGGGGGGTTTTCCGCATCTAGATTAGGAGTGGCGCAAGAAGGATCCAATGCTGGAAGTGGCTTTCGAGTTCCTTTTGGCGACGCTGCTGGAGAACGGACAAAAGAGCAATCCAGTAGATGAGGGGGGTCTTGCGCCTATGGTTCAACGACCAATTCATCGTTCTTCGAAGGCCTCTGGTAAAAATATTGCGTTTTTTCGCTTCGCAATAACGACAGGAATAGTAGGAGCCCCGGCTGTAAGCAAACTACCACTGCCAAGCCCCCCACAGCCCCTCTTCCAGAACACGAATATGTATATGCAGCCTCAGCCTTCGTTCCCATTTCGGCTTCTCTAGATCTCGCGGCTGAGAGTCTAGTTCGCCTATCGGCTCTGTCGTCCCAGCACGCCTCTCTATTTTGAGGCAAAACTGTTTAGCCGGCCCCGCGTAATTGGACAGCACCAGCGGACATGGTGCAGCCTCATAAGCTGCATATATTGGCCGACGTACACGATCGTCAACACATATTGGGGTATTAGAGAGAAAGACCCCCCTTCTTCCGCCCAGCCTCCGCTGCACTGCTTTCTTCCCTTTCCAAACATAACAAAAGTTTCTGCCAAACAACTGCGTCGCATATAATACAGTGGTCTTGGCCCATCCGACAACATCCGGTCTTTACCTTTCTTCACATCTCCAGTCCGTGTCGACGTATTGACTAAAAAATGCATTTCCCAACTGTCCTCACCACGCTGCTCTTCACCACTGCCACCCTCGCATCACCATATGCGTGGGCCGAGCCTCAAGCTAACGTCCCATCTAACAACAACAACGGCCGAAAACCCAACCGCACTCACCGACACGAGAGGACACCGACATTCAAGGAGCCATGCAAATGTGTCGACCCCATTGTGCCCATGAACCTGCTTAACGACAACGAGAAGTGTATGATCAAGTATGCTGCGCGCATGGGATGCTACATGAGCTCCAAGGGTGGCTGCCCTTCACCACCTCCAGCTGTAAGTTTGCGAACTCCGTGCGATGGGAGTACCTATGGGTCTGTGCTGACTGGAAGTAGTGTGGTCTCGGTCCTTTACGCGGCATTCCTTCGCTATAGTGTGTGGACAAGCCCGGTGCGGACATAAGGTGGCTGCTGTACTATCAAAATTGGCTTCTACATGTCGCGTTTTTTTTGTACAAAGTGCATAATGGCAGGTATGAAAAGGATATATATGAAAGCAAATGAATTATCTTAGGGTTTTATTGTGGCCCAAGGAGTGAGTGTGATGCTGCTATTGACTACCTGCTTAGTTCGAACTTTGTCTTGGCCCAGATCGCCAGGAGCGATGGGTTTTACTTCCCAATGATTCCCGACAAGGGCTGACTAAACAGCCGACTGGGACATGGCATTCCTCATCCAGCAGTTTCTTCCTTTCTCACACGCCTCCCTATCTCCATCTCCATATCATCAACCACTTCCTAGTCCTGACTTTCCCTCCTTCATCACATCCCTACACCAATCTTCACTAATACCTACTCCACCCTCCTCCTCTTGCTCCTCCCCTCTGCACCCCCTTCCATATCCGTCTTCCCCGCCTTCGCTATCCTCGACAACCTCAACCGCTCCTTCTTCAACGCCTCTGCATGTCTGCTCGTAACTTCTGTGTCGGGACATCCAGCCTCACCAGGTTCAATCAGCGACTCGATATCGATTTCCTTCAGCAAACCAGGAACCTCACTCAGCAAAACGCGATGGCGCCCATTCTCCCTGCACCAAATAATCGCCTTAGTCAACGGCCCGGCATCCACGCCCGAAGGAAGCGACTGCAACCCGTGCGCAAGAGCAAGAAGTGGGTAGTCGATTTTGCCCCAGACATCGTAGGCCCAGCCTTCAGCCGTATAGCTAGCAACAACTTCTGTGTCATCCGGTTCAGTCGATGAGACCGGCTCCGGAACAGGGGTGTCTCCATCGTCGTCATCCATGTCCATTTCCTCCGTAACCCCGCGTTTAACAACATCCCTCTCACGCGCATTCTTAGCCGCACTATTAATAGTACCAGACTTGGGTACGGTATCGCCGTCCAGCGCTCGCGTCATGCTGAGTACTTTGCAGACGAAATTCGCCGGGATGCCTGCACGTGCTAGGCGGTCTGCTGCGTGGCCCCAGTAGTAATGCTGTGGGAAAAAGGACAGCAGCTCCATGATGGTAAATTCCGTGTCGCCTAGTAGTGTGATGTCAACATTTACGGGCGTTGCAACACTCTTGAAGGGGCAGAATAGATTAACAGTTGGGCTGGTGAGGTAGTGGTCTTGGTTCTGGAGGATGGGGTTGAGCTCAGTTGACAATAGTGAGGTAGATGGCTCTGCTTCGAGAGCTAACATCATGAGCTCGGGAATTGGAGATTTGAGTTTGCGGTTTGAGCGCAGAGCTCCAGTACCGCGTCGGGTCTTTCCTGGTGTGGGAATGAAGTTAGCAGTTGGATCGGTTTCCTTTGAGGCAAGCCAACGCCAGCCGTCTGCGAGGTCGATGATCATGTTGGGGCAGTCTCGCGCCTCGCGCCACGGATGCGAAATCTCCAGGCTGAATACATTCAAAGTACTAAGGCTGATTGAGCTGTCAGTCCTATTGCTTGACTTGGGTCCTAAGGTAGTCGGTGCATGGAAGTTCAGCTGACCCTCCCACGGCAAGGTCCAATCGACCCCGTCAAAGTCAAACACTTCTGCGTCCGATCCGTCGCCCAACCTAAGCATATCGGGTAGTAAGCCATACTCTGGGTGAAGCTCTCCGCCCGGAACGTACTTGTGTAGGCCCGCCTGCCGAAGCTCTTCGCACGTAAGAGGCAATGGACCGATAGGAGTCAGCTTGAACGCCTGACGGTAAGGATCGAATACAATAGGAAGGAGGCCAGCCCACGACACGTGCTTCCAATTCAAGGGAAGTGTAAGCTTCGGCACGCGAGAGATATCCGGCAAGCCATCAACAACAGGTACGAATGGCTGATGGAATATCAGCCGCGGATCTAGAACTGGGTATGGATAGGACGGATGCGTACTTCCGCCAGGCGGGTACTGCAGTTGCCAATCCAGCGAGTGCACAGTCGGAAGTCCCTCAAACAGTACGGGATTGGACTTGCAAGCCACAACGCTGAATTCGGGTTGAGCCGGGGGTTCGAGGTCTACGGGGCGCTTGCGGGCGGCACGTGGAGTCGGTGTAGTTGGTGTACTCGGCTTGACGTCAACTGCGCGAACAAATTATCAGTACATATTCGAAAAGTTTATTACAGCAGTTTACTTACAGACAGACGGCGGCGGTCTGCGCAGTCTGGCACTACGTCGCATCGGCGTGGGACTCGAAGCCTTCTCGAGCTCGCGCGCAAGTGCCGCATCACGCTCTACCATTTCGACATCGCCATCGTTCTTGTTCTCTCCGCCAGGGATGCCTCGGCCGGGGTTTTCCTCAACTGTAAAGCTATTCCTGGCTCCAGGTGCACCTACATCGCTCATCTCGACGTCCAAATGCCTAGTGCCCATCATCCAGCCATCACTCACAAAACCAGGGGTTTTCGGAGAGAGCAGTCCATGCCAGGGCACCGATACACAACTCTTGATGGGAGTTTTTGGCTGGTCCACTTGATCTTCTGTAACGAAGGAGTCTTCGCTCTTAACCTCCTGGCCATGAGTGTCATGCTCGCTGCTCTCCTCACCAGAACCATGTTCTTTACGGGGCGAGATGATTAGTTGCATCTGCGGATTACCGCTCTTCACTGGTGCAAAAGCGGAATCGTGAGCCTCAGTGCCATGGCGGTACTCAGGAAGGTGGTCTGGCTCGGTGGTGTATGAGCGGTACATGCTTTCAGGCAAGTTTGTGTTGTCTGGTGTTTTTGTCAGCTCTGGTGTCTCTCATATTGACGAGTTCAGGATATACTTACTCGACATCATGTGCTCCCCCTTGGCTGGTGAGGGTGTTCGGTAATGTTCTCCTATGCTCTCTTTTGGTGTTGTTGTTGTTGTTGGATCTTGCAGTACGGAGTCTGTAAGGGTTGAGTTGTTTGGACTGCGTTGCATGCCGGGCGACTTAAGGTTGGGAGTCTCCTTGCATTGCTGTGTGATGATGATGAGTGAGCTCCACGATTGGTGGTGATCTGGTGATGTCCAACGGTGAGGTTGAGGGTGTAGAAATGGTGCGGCTTCTCTCACTTATATCACTAACTTTAGTGTCATGCAAGTCCAAGCGAAGTCGACTCCTCACATCAACACTCGAGACCAACAACAAACTTTCAACACGGTACAAGGAGAGGTGCATGAAAAGAAAACAGAAGATGACAAGAATTAGCATCGGTTGCAGGAGCAACGTAGACGCATCATAAATTCATTACACATATCCACGATAGCTCAACTAGCAATACGCTCTAGTCGTCACGCCAGAGCCTTCCCATCTCCTACTCAGCTTTACCACGTACTAGTCCCAATCGCCGGGCCCGCACCGTCAAAAAACGGCTCATCCAGGAGCGCCAGCAGCACCTGCTGTCCGACCCACTGCTCCTCAACAGCCGGCCTGATCCTCTCCGGCGGCAGCACAAACCCAAAGTCACCCGTATCCGGCAACTCGATCGTGAACGAGAACTTAGCCCGCCCAATCGTATACACGTGATCAATCGACGCACCCGTCGTGGGATACAGCGTCGCTCCACTCGGACCAAACAGGTACGTAGTATCGTTCTTCGAGGAATCGCGAATGTACTCGCTCATCAGCGAGGCCGTCTTGGTCCATATACCGAGTTCGGGTGCGTAGAGCGTTTCCTTGTGGCCGAAGGGGAAGAGGATGAGTTGCGAGTAGCTGTGCCAGTCGATGTAGAGCGTGATGCCTTGTTCATCGCGGACTTTGCGGATGAAGTTGTCGAGCCCTTCGTTTTCGGGGGCGTCGCGGGGTTTTTCGCCGCGGTAGACTTGTTGGCAGGCGTCTGGGGAGGCGCCGCGGGGGTCGGCGTCCCAGTTTGTTTCCCAGTTGCGGTTGATCTTTGTGGATGTGGTTAGTGAGGTTGAACGTGGAATTTGGGGAGGTTGGGGAGTGCTTCTTACATCGCGGCCGAAGCAGGATTGGTTTTGGTTGGCAGGTGGGGGTTGGCGGTTCTTGCGCCAGAGACGGTTGTCGGTCTGGGAGAAGACGAAGCCTGTCACGTGTGAGTGAGTTGTTCAGGACAATGAAATGAGTTGCGGCTTACCATCTGGATTGACAAAGGGAAAGATGTAGAAGTCGTATTTGTCCAAGATTGTCTTTGTGTCGTTGTCTCCGGCCTTGTATCCATCAATGAGCTGCTTGGTGATGTACTCAATAGTCTACAAAGTGTTAGTTATGAAAGAAGAACAGTAATTTTGGGTTTACTGACAGGAGCGACGATCCATTCACGGGCATGCACAGTGCCGTGGTAGATGACTGCGGGCTTTCCAGGGCCACCTGCTCCCCAGAGATGCACACCGAATATGTCGCGTCCTTCGTAGGATTTTCCGCTGCTCGTCCAGTTTGACTGCTCGGGGAAAGAGGCTTGGAGGTCCTTCCACCAGGTGATGTGCTTTAGTGATGTTAGTATGAGCGTTATCTCGAGACTGGTAAACGTGGACTCACATCTTCGTAAGGGTGGTAGCTGTCAAACCAAGCATCATCAGAGCCGTTTGACTGCCTCTTCCAAACGCTCTTGACTTGACTCTCGCGAGCAATGGAAGATGCCAAGTCCTGGTGTAGAGTTCGTGACTTCAGCCCGAGGCGCTTGAAGGCATCGAGTTGGTCTGGTGCAATGAGCACATCCCAGGAACCCCTCGCTTCATTGAGCGTCTCGTGAGGGATTGACTCCATTGCACGCTTTGCCCACGCGCCCTCTTGACCAATGGCCCGGATGCGGTGGACCTGGTAGCCATCGTAGGTAACTGGCTGCGAGCTGCGAATACTCGCGCCAGCAGCAAGCGACAACCAGGCAAGGTTGAATACAAACTTCATGATGACCTTGAAGCAACCAGCGGGGCGAGTGTGAGAGAAAAGTTTATAACTTTTGCCCTCGCTCGTTTTATAACCCTTTCACTTTATAGCCCTTTCACTTTACGTTTGCTTGGCAAGAGCGCAGTTCATGGAAGCCTGAAGGAACGTTGCCGTCTCAGGCAACCAATGCCAGCATCAGCTGTATGTACTACAGGTGCACGGTGACATTATACATGTCGGCTGAAGACATGAGATAGTCATGGACAAGAAGTAATCCGGTAATATCCCAAGTCGTTAGCGTTCTGACCTGCCAGTTGCGTTCTAGGCATTGCATGGCGTTGCTGGGCATAGGAACGGCAACGTCATTAACCCATGCATATTCGCCATGTCGATGGGCGCGCACACTGGCGCGGGGGGCTCTCCTTGTTTCTTTCCGAATTCTTTGTTCTTGCATTGGGTATTTTGAATAAGGGTTCTTATTGAGGCTGAATAGTGAACGTTAGGGCGACTTGCCAGTCTAATTATGAAGGTAAGTGGCGACGTTGTGTACAAAGGCAACAACCAGAATGATGACAAATTCCGTAAGCATGGCGATATATGAGTTCAGCGAGAATGGTATAAAGAAGGATTTCCAATGCAGCCATTGTTGAGGCTGTGGCGGTTGGACATGCGGGGAACCCACGAAAACATGCGCAACCGTTGATACGTTAGACGACTACTGGGGCCTTGTTCGGTTACGTATCCGTTTTTCGCCTGCCAAACCTAACCCTAGCTTCATCTAGAAGACTGGCCTGGAAAGCTTGTTCGCTTGCGTGATTGCAGCTACGTTCTGCGTTCTATCTACTGGATTCAGGCTCCGCTTCAAAAACAGGACTCATGACGCTGTCGTACTCGGTTGAGTGCGCGCTTTGAAGTTACAGAACGGAGCTTTATACTTCTTGATTTGCAGTTCTAGTTAGAGACTCCATCATTAACCAGGCCTGGTATATCGGCTGATCACGTGAACATCACGTGATTTTCAAGTTAACATCAAACAGAACCCCAACCGAACAGCCGTTCCATTGCTTATCCCAGTTCGGGAAGACTCGGCTACGAGAGTAAGCAGCTAGCACTCCCTACGAAGCTTTAAATCTACGACGGGAACAAAGTTAAGATTGCAAATGCGGCTGAACCAAATAAGCCCTAGCCGTCTTCGCCTCAGCCGAGTCACGGCAAGAACCATACTCCATCATCCACCTCCTTGCCTTTCTCCCTTGATTTCTCTATCATCTTAAACGCAACTCTCCGATAGGAACAGATTGTGAAACGGAGTTTCTGAATTATTGCCGAGCATGGCTGTTGACGCCCCGAAGTCAAATAAAGCCCATCCCTGGTCGTTTGTTTAGCCTTACTTTATTAATTGGCTGACGCAAAGCTAAGACCAAGACTGGGTCCAATTGGCCGAATACAAGCAAACGATCTGTGAAAGCGATTCTCATGCCAATGTCCATTAAAATACGCGCTCTGCCTGCTAGTGCGAAGCAAGTATCCCTATTAAACCACTAGGTGCTATTGCAAAATTATATCGATGAATGTCCGTCCTCCCCATCAACACTTATGAATGTACAGGTTTCTCGCAAGTCACTTCAATTGACTGAAGTGCTACACTACGTCGAACATGGCTAAGACAAAGACTCGAACAATGTTCGAGCACACATCTCTATGACATTGTTCACGTAAAAGTCTCTTTATTATATAGCAGTCTTTTCATCCAACGCACAATGGCATTGGTCTTCGGTGAGGTGTTGCAAACACTGCCAGCGGTTCACTTTCACTTTCACAGTGACAAGTTCACCGGTACCTCAGTGAACCCGGGGGCTCAATACATTGTTAGGCAGTAGACCTTCCTTGATTTTGTAAAACAGAGTTTTTCCAATCTACTGAACACTCCAATACAATTGCATTCATACAACTCCAACAGGAGTAGTCAATCAACACACAGCTACTCACAATGGATTCTCCCCCACAGCAATTCACTCCCGACGCTTTCTCACGGACAGAGATCCAGGACATGTTAGATGATGCACAGATAGACGCTGAATACCTATACACGAATATTCCGTGTTTGCGAGACCAGCTCCAGCAGCTCCTTTGGGAAGCCATCGAAGAGTGCAACAGCCGCGATGTGGACCCCATGGTAGTACTACATCGCACACTCTTCAATGAACGGACTATCCTAGACGCGTACAACAAGCATAGATTGGGAAACGCTGTGACTCCCTTCAATGCGCAGGTTGTTGATCCAGAGAACGCTGTAGAATACATTCCAGAAGAAAACATCCCCGAGGTGCTTGGATGGTTTCCCCTGCGAGCCGCAGTAGCGAAGCACGACATAGACATCCAGGCAGAGCCCATCTACCAAGTCGTACAGACTACGGAAGCCAAAGAGAGCCACACGACGGAGGGCAGCTCATCAGAGACGTTGTCACTGCCCAATCACACACCCCAGAAGCCATCTACCAGCGAGTCGGCCACTACCTGGACACCGTCCACATCCTCCGCAGCCCTCAACTACAACAAACTCCGCGACGCGCCCTCCCCCTGGCTCCCCTTCCCCACCGGCAACCTCACCATGGCCGAAGTCACTGCCTTCCTCCCGCAATCCATAAAATCCTTCGACATCATAACCCGCTTCATCTCCAACGGCGCGCTCGCCATGACCCTAGCCAGCATGATAAACCACTACCGCGCCATGCCCACCGGCCCCATCGAAAACAACACAATCTACCGCATGATGAAGGGCCAAATGAACCTCCGCGCAAAGTCCGACCCGGTATACAAAGACTGGACCGTCACCAAGCACGCCGACATCAAAAAACCCGCGTCGTTCAACCCATACAGCGTCAGCGTAACCGGCTTCCACACACCCGAGAACGCAATGGCCTCGCCGCAATCCCCCCAGACAATTCTATTCCGCGACCTGGCCAAAGGGGTCAAAATCATGCCGTCGGGCCCCGACGCACTGGATCTAACCCGCTGTGTCCAGTACTGTCTCGAGCACGAGAATGAGGATTGGCACTATCCGACCGACTTTGCGGCGCTGGTGCAGAATCTCGGTGGTCCGGCGGCCGTGTGTTACGAGCATTGCGATGCCGAGGCGATTGATAGGCATTCGGTCGGGTTGAAGCTGACCAAGGTGCGGCGGGCGCCGGTGGGACGGGGACGTGGACAGGAACGTGGGCGTGGACGCGGTGGGCGTGCTCGCAAGGTCAAGTCTAGGAAAGCTGCTGTGGTTGAAGAGTCCGAGGACGAGGAGGAGGAGTTGGAATCGACATCTACCTCTGCCTCTTCGTCGCCGTCGTTGTCCTCTGAAGATGGAGACGGAGATGTAGATGCAGAAGGTGAAACAGACGAAGATGCAGATATCATTGCTGCCAATACCCCTACAAAACGTAAGAATGCCCCTTTATCCTCTTCCTCCCTGCCATCCCCCAAGCGTTCCAGGAAAATTGCTACGCGCAAGGCTGCCCGCAAGGCGGTGGAGTCGGAGTCGGAAGATGGTGGTGATGACGATGCGTATGTTGGGCCGAAGACGAAGACGAAGCGCAAGACGGCGGTTGCGACGAGGAGTTCGGGGCGGACGAAGAGGTTTGAGGGGTCTTATCGTGTGGAGTAAGTGAAGCATCTTTGTCCTCTGTGTTGAGCGAGTTCTTTGGGAGGTTCGGAGGACGAAAGTCGAGCATCGGTTGCGTTGAGCGAATGCTTGAAGAGGTTTGAGGGCAAGAAGGAAGGGAATATCCATGGTGGTGCTTGATTTGAGCAACCTGGGTCTGGGTTATTGGAGTCGGAGTCGACTGATTGATTGATTGATTATTTATTGTAGTGATACCCCCCCCCCCAATCACCATTGCATACTTGCATTTTCAGAGTCTAGTTTTCATATTGAAGCAATAACGTCTATTCTACCATCTCTCTTTCCCCTCTATTCCACTCCCATCTTCCTTCGCAAAAAAGACTCATCTAACTAGGCACCCCTTCATACTCCCACCCCCCAACCTCCCTCCGTTTCCTCCCCCTAACATTCTCCCTCCGATTCGCTGCACACTTTACAAAAAACGTCAGCGCCGCACACACGAAGATAATCACGGCCGCCACAGTCGGCACAACCACAATCCGCGTGCGATCCGTCTCCGTACTCGCCAGGTACGGACACGTGGAGTTGCGGCCCTCGACCCAGCAGTCGGGCGTGTCGATACTATTTAGATTTACGTAGACAACGTCGGCGTCGGCGTCGGAGCTGGCGGCGAGGACGGAGAAGAGATGGGCATTTTCGAGCGCGGTGTGGGGGACGCTGAAGCGGGTGGGAGGGGGGCAGTGGGATTCTGCGGAGTCGTAAGGGGAGGAAGTGGTGGAGAGGCGCCAGGTGTAAGGGGAAGAAGGGTCGTGGCAGGCGACGCGGTGGGGGTCGCGGCAGTCGGTTGTGCGCCAGCGGCTGGGGTTTGTGGATTTTGACATTACGACGCACCGGTTTAGGGCGTTGGCGTCGTCGTTTTGGGTGGCGTTTAAAGGTTCGCCTGGGGCAAAGGACCAGAGGGTTGAGTGGACGAAGGCGGCGTAGGGGAGGGGGTTGAGGTTTGCGGGGGTACGAGCGAGGGTTTGATTGAGGAAGGGAGAGGTGCCGCAGCGGGTGAGGTTGGTGATAGAGGGGATGAGGAGGGAAAGGTCGGGGGTTGCGGGCAGGTCGAGTTGCGGGGCGGTGGCGAGGGCCCAGGAGGCGTTTGGGGTTGTGATGCTGGTGGAGGAAGGGTCGAAGAGACAGCCGGATGTTACGCTGCCATCTGAGTCGACGGAGGTAGAGATTTGGTTGGAAAGTGTGCCTGCAGGGAAGATGTAGCCAGAGTCGGCACTGGTATTGTACTCACGCATTTGAGAGTCAATGGTACCGTAGCTGGCAACCAGGCGGAATAGCTTTTTGAACTCCATGAAAGCTTCTGTTGGCCATCCATTGCGCGTATATGACTGGCCCTCGGCGTTGATCAACCCTTCGTAGTATCCATGTACTGGCTGGTTGTTCCACTCAACATCATACCAAGAGTTGTTCAGATTTGCTCGCTGATCAGCCAGGTTGGTGGGCTTATACATCTCATCTGAGATATTTCCTCGCAGTACATCGCTAAGGAGCTGTCCTTGTCCGGGAAGTTGGCCTTGAGAAAGGAGAGGAGCATCGGCATTGGGGTTGGTAATTGAGGATGCGGCATGTACATTGAATGAAAACAGGACTAGAGCAGCGCCAGTAGTAGTGGAGGTTGCGTCTAGGAAATCTTCCAATATCCCCGTGAGCAGATCTAATGTCGTAAGAGAAGTGCAATTGTAGTTGCCGATTTGCAAGATTGGGGGCCCATCTGGACTCGGATAGTCGATGATAGTGGGAGCTGCTGCACTGGTTGGTGCCGAAGATACTGAAGAAGCAGAAGCAGATACAACAGATGGAGATGCTGTTGCTGATGATGAACCTACAACGGATGTCGCCGTCTCTTGGCGTCTCTGTGCCCCGGGAGGGAGAGGCACTGTTGAGATTGGTATTGAAGCCCTCACAGTATCACTGGACTGCACTACCGTCTGGCTTGTCCTCACCGGCGCCTCTGCACTATTCGAGTTACCCCCGTTTGCTCGAGGAAGCTCCACAGGACACAAGCTCCATACTTGACGTAGAGGATCCCAGTACGTATCCACGGTGAACCTGCGAAACCCCACGGCAAGCAAATTGGAAAAGCACCTTTTGAAAGCAACATGCTCAAACTGATTCTGAGGGAAGCACGTTGCTGTCAGCGAGACACCGGGCACAGTCTGGAAATTGATAGGAACACGGAGTCCAACATCGCGTTGAGCCTAATTTGTATCACCAGTTAGCTGCAAGTCACTTTATTCCCCCCCCCCCCCCCGTCTAACATTCTTCATGTGCACGTTATAATCCGGAACATAGTTGGTGGGATATTTCCACTGCATATGCCAAGTTGATTTAGGGGGGAAAAGTATCAATCCAGCCCCGATACAGTAACATCTACAAAAAAACTCACCCTGAACGCCTCACTCCAGGGCTGGATCCACCGGGTATCTACAGCACTCTGATCAGGATCATACAGCCCTTTAGCCGACATTGCCCGCCAGCAGCTGCAGACATCAACAAAACGCACGATGCGTTGCACAGCTTGTTGCAGCCAGCGTCCAGCTGCTCCTTGCACCCGGCGAAGCCGAAGAAAGCCTGCAGCAAGGGGTGTGTGGTGACGCGACGAAGCAGGCAAGCTATACCAGTCTCTAAATAGCTCTCGGCCTTTGTACAACGTAGCAATGCTTTCAGTACGCGATATTGTGCACGTGGTGGTATGCGTTTGTTTTGATGATATAATATGTATGTAGTAGTCGGATGTGGGATGAGACGGAGAAGGGGCTGCGTGGCTGGGGAAGATCCGCCGGGCCGAGAAAGGACGCGCGACCGGGGGGAAGCAGCGTCACGTGCAAATGTGCAATGACGCAAGTTAAGTTTTTGCCAACAATGCCCTAATCGGGTTAGTAGGCGAATCCCACTCTCCACCCCCCTGAGCCAATTGCGATAGCACACGCTTTAGTCGCCCCGAATGACCAGCGAAAATCATAAAAAAAATTAACCCGGGGGATTTGCAATGCAGCGTATGTCCCTGTAATTACCATATTGCAAGATGACCATTTTTGATTGTTCGCTGGCTGTAGTAAAACAATAAAAGGCCCGATGCGCATACTGCTAGGTCTTTTTCTGGAGTCGCGTGACGAAAGGGTTGAAAAAGTGTTGCGTGAGATTTTAGAATGGCGTGGTTGTATGCTTTTGTGGTGTTGCGATAATTATTAGGTTCTGTCGTCAAGGCCATGTGTGAAGAAGAAAAGAGAGTAAGCGTAGGGCAGTGAGTGGACTGGGGTCGTTACTTTGTTACAAGGGATGTGATGATTATGCTCCTTAGGACAAGGTGTTATAGCTGGGTAGATCAGCCGCAATGCCGCAACTTCGCCTTGGTAAGCGAGAAGCTTTTTCTCACCCCGCCTCTTGTACGACGACGTCCGACGTCGAGAAAAACCACATATTGTGTTTCTTGGAAAGGCTGCATGATGGGGGTTATTCAAGAGGAGGGTAGAGACAATGGAAAAGGTGAAAAAATGCGCAGGAGTGGCTGTGCTGGCGGGCTAAAACTCATTTACACACGCTGCTAGGTGGCATGCAGGTCCAGTATGAGTTGAAGGAGAATTAGGAAAACACTGGCTGTCGCTCGTGACGGAGTTTTGACCGACTCCGTCGACGGGCTAGGTTGCAAAGTCAGGCTGCAAGGTGCCTAGTACCTTACCCATCTTTCCCTTAACCCCCCCTCCCTCCCTCTTTCTCTCTCCTTTTTTCCATGCCGTTGCAAGCGCAACCAGTTCAGCACCATGCATGCACTGGTCGCTTTTCCAGCGCAACGATGGCCGATGATCATGCAGGAACCAAACGGGGAAACCTTCGCGACGAGCCATGGTGGGCTCGCCGTGTCATTTTTCACCAGCGTCTCGCGATTGAACGACGGACTGGTGGGAGAATGAACGGGCCCCTCTGACTTTTGTCTTTGTTAACTGGAGAGGGATCCACTTGAGTACTTACGCCCAGTGGGGATATCCCACCGAAGTGTGATACGTTTGGATTTCTTGGTTCGCACACCAGAGCTACTGTACATGTCATGTACATGCAGGCTTTGATTTTTCAAGGGGTAAAAGGGGTGGGAGCAATGGGGGGAAGGGAAGCGAGGGAGCGAGGGAAAGAAAAGCGCGGTGCTCCGTAGCTTGAACCAGACTTTTCCCAAGAGCAAAAGCCCGGTACTGCAAGTGAGATCGGCCACGCTCTTGCCCTGACAGATAACCGGGAGCCGTGGGGTGCGTCCGTTGAATGAACAAAAAATAAGTGCGGGACTCGGTCCCATAGGCGTTGTGCCAGCACACTCCAAGCCGCAATGTTCCGGGACCCGTACTCCGCAAGTCGTTTGACGTGCAACGTCTTCACCGCATAGTGACTTGGGGGGGCACAGACTTGTCCATGATGCGCATGAACCGCACAAGATCGAGCGAGACAACGATCGACCGACAACCGTCAACTCGTGCGTTTCACCAGGGCACCCGCCACGGTACCATGGTTTCCAAAAAAGACTTGGGACCGAGGAACTTTTCGCTTGACACCTGTTTTGGCTTGTCCTGCAGGTTATTGACAGCTATAGCCTTGCCTTGATGGCTACGTGTTTCATGCACAATTTTTTTTCTTTCTTTCCCTTCGTTGACGAGGGTTATGTCTGGCCACGCCATCCTGGCAATCTGTTCAAGACAGCATTACCTTGCACAGGCTGAATGCACAGATTTATGGGGTATTGCTCATGCATCTTTACGTCACGAGCCAGAAAGAAGGCCCTCCTTTGCGGAGGGTATCCGGTGGGATCTGCGATTAGGGTGACACTGAGATGCTGCGATGCTTGCCAAAGCGCGATGAGCACAAGATCTCCATCACACTGACAGGGGCAGCTGGAAGCAACGTGACATGGCAACACGGAAAGAATAGTGGCTGGTGAGAATAAGTAATCATCAAGGCGGGACTGGGCTTGTGACGGGTGATTGTACTTTTGGAACCCGTAGCGCCCAGTCTGCAAGCCGATGGTAATACGCATGCGCGTATAGCAAGTTCTCGACCGGGACTCTACGGATGGAGAGGGTGTGTGTGTGTGTGTGTCCCACAATGCCACCGTTCTTCCCGAGTCGCCTAAGTAGAGGTAGCCATGGTGTAATGAAAGATGGTTTGAAATTCTGGCCAGTGACCGAGTATTTTCGGACCCGACAGAGTGGAAAACTGCCATGTTAATTATTTCCCTCGAAACCCCCCCCCAAAAGGCCTCAAATGGACGGCCTTTCCAACGGCGTATGCATTAGCGGTAGGAACTGAAGATGATTGTGGTGGACCGTGGCAATTTAGACGGCAAAGTCGAGGATAGCGGGGACGCCCGACCTGACGGCGTAGACCCGAGACGTGAGGATCCGGGAGGGTACTATCGATTGGTGCATGCATGGCCACGTTAGGGTACCAGTCATGGGAAGCGGTCCCCTGCGGCCAAAAGGTCCATGCCATTTTTCTCAACGCTTGCAGCAGGTTTGTTACTTTGCAGATTTACGCTAAGGGGGGGGGGGCATCACTGGAACTGTGGCGCGCTAGCCGGACGATCAAAGTCTAATAGCCGAACATGGTAGGATCGTAGGGGAGGGGGCGCATGATCTAGCCCTCAGTGACTCCTTTACTCTTCTTGGTCGTGGTGGGTGTGGTGAGGAGTTTCTAGTCGCCGACCCTGTGTCTTTAGTGGCATCGATCTGGGTGCGCCGTTGACTTTGACGTTTCTAGCAACGGCATAGCAACAAAAGTGATGGATTGAACAGGGAAGTGTTAGGCATAATGTGGAGGCTGGACAGTCCGCATGCGGACGTTGATGGCGACAAGAAGGGGGCCGGGCGTGCCGTAGCGGGGGAAAAGCCGAAGCTCTGATTCGAGACTTGGGGTTGCAACGGGGAGCATCCTAGTGCGTGTGACAATGCACTTGAACACAAGATGTGTAAATGGTTCATAGCTATACGGCCAGCGTGATGCTGTTATTAAGACAAGCATGGCAGGTGTACGGGTTTTTTTTGGCACAAGTCTACGACAAGTGTTGACGTACAAGAAGGAGAAAGCCTGCTTAACGGCGGTATTTGCGAACTCGACCCACAGCACAGCCTTGGGATGGGATCAGCCGATAGAGGAGACGCTGGAGGCTGCATGTATCGAGGTGACATTATCATGACCTGGAATCTAGTGTCACCACAGCTTACATGCAGCTGCAGTGACCAAGAAAGGAGTGGCCAGTGAAAAAAAATGCTGACACGAAGGATTTCTTGTTAGCAATGCTATCACAGCCCAATGACGAGGGCGACTAGGCGATATTGCAGATGTTGAAACGGATAAGACTGCACAAGCTGATCGGTACATGAGGCAGGATCGGGTCCAGGCCTTGATCGAGGTGTGGTGGGGGGGTTGAGGCACTGCCATGGGGTACTTTGGCCGTTTGTGAATGTCTGTCGTGTGGTGGGTACGCCCAGTACACCTAGTACGAGGTATCATTGGGGCGGTGAGAACGCGCCGGTAGGGGTTGAGGGGCAACATGATTAGTCTTCGCCGATCGTCGGTCATGAGGGTGGTCCCTCTGGGCTGTTGTTGAGTCGCTGGACTTCTGGTATCTCAACTGAGGGATCAGTCATGTGGATGGACAGGGAGTGTAAGTTTAGAAGTGAGCTGATGGATATACGATTCGTATTTTTTGTTTGACATGGCCATAGAGCAGATACAAGTGCCGATGACACTATTGGGTATTATCGCTAGCGACAGTTTGTCGCAATATACAGATGACTCGCCAAAGTAGCGTTTCGAACTTTAACGCACAGAATGCTGAGAAGTGGCCGAAACGAAAACAAGATGATACAACCTCCCAATGTGATGCCCCTTCTGTAGACAGGCCCTACTTGGGGGAAACCCTGCTAGTCATGCCCAATGTTCCTTGATGATTTCGTACAATACAAGCGGATGTGAACCTTGATAGAAAAGAGAAGAAAAAGAAAAAGACTAGAACAAGCGATGCCGATGGTGGACAACTCGGCTATTAATAGGGATACATGAAGTGGCGGACGTGACATATAGACAAGAAGGGATATGGTAGACAGTGTGAAACACAGGCCAATCTACATGATGTTTCGCAGAGACATTCGGTCCTTTGGCGAGACGGGTGCGCTTCGTGCCTCTGCTGGCATTGAGGGCAAGACGTAAGGGGACGGCAGTTGTCTCGATGCCGGGCTGCTGCTCGCACTTGTGGAGTGGGGCAGAGGTAGCCTTGGCTCAGCGAGTGAGTGGAAAGGTGGTAGTGGTCGTTGTGGCACACTTGTGGGAGCAGACTGGGGCATCGAGTGGTGGTGTGTAAGCTGGGGGGTCGGCTGGGTAAGGAGCTGTGGTGGCTGCGGGCGCTCGTAGTTTGGCTCACGGAAAGAAGGGGCTGCCTTGGAAGCCTGAGCCTCGTTGCGGTGCAGAGGAGGCAGCTGAAGTGAGCCACGGCGCCTGTAAGGATCGCTAGAAGAGTCGTCTTCAGGCGCAAAGCCAGTGGCGGGGAGGTAGCGAGTGCTGGAGTTCTTGCGCTCCTCCCTGCTACCGACTAGTGGTGCGAGTGTCATGTCTGGGGGAGAAGCGGCACCACGTGGGGACCTCGACTCTGAGCCAGTGTCAGTGATGAGGGAAGGAGCACCGTCGGCAGATACAATGGAGTATCCAGAAGGTGAAGGCATGGGCGTCTCAAATCCTCGTGCTCGTACAGCTGCGTGTGATCCGTATGTGGCGAGATCGAGAGGCTGTGGGCGAGGTGCTGGGTAGGGCTCAAATCGCTGGGGCTGGGGAAGCTTGAGACCATGTGGTGAGTGGACTGAGGGTCGGTGGGAGTCGTGTCGTTGCTGGTCATGGCGAGGGGTCATGTGGTGGTGCTCTTCATGGTGAGGATGAGTGCTGGGCAATGGGTAGTGGAAGCCAGGCTGTGCTTGGTGCATGTAGTCGCGGGGTCGTTGGTCTGCACGCTCAGGGTTGCGCTTTCTGCGGTTCTGGCCTCCATTCCACCAGTTCTTGACAGCATTGTCGCTGCGACCCTTTAACCGCCGAGCAATCTCTGCCCATCTCTTACCCATCTCAGCAACCATCTTCTCAATCAGTTCACCCTCCTCGCCAGTGATTGGGTCATGGTTTAATGAGGGCTTCAGGTTCTGATGATAGCGCTCTCTGCATTGCTTGGGTGACCTAGAGCCGATTTCTTGTGAAATACGAACCCAGTTGTGGGGTCCATTGCGAGCTACGAGGTTGACAAGCCACTGATCCTCGTGCTGCGACCAGGGGCCGCGTCTGTGGGCAACCATTGTGAAGTTTTTGCGGTTAAGAAGGATGTAGTTGTTTGAAAACAAGTGAGAAGAAATGCGAACTTTGACTCTGAGTCGATGTTCGATAGAAGGCTGAGCGTAGCAGGTCAGTTTCGTGGGCTGGAGATAACCATGGCACAAGATGAGAATACGAGGGGGGTGAGACAACCATGAGGCTGAGTGTTGATAGGTGGAAACAGGGGAGATGAGAGGAGGGGTGGGTATATCTGCAACAGGCACTGACAATGTATAGATTGACAAGATATGTTGCAGACAAAATGCAGAGGACGGGATGTACCCAGGGCAGTGCGAGATGTGCAAAGGGTCCGAGGGAGGGGGAGAGAGAGGAGACATACCGTATGGCGGGTTGGTGACTGCAGAAGGGTTGATTCAAAGTGTGCGTGTGTGTGTGTGTATGCAAGTGTGTTGTTGAGTCGAGTGGATGTTGAGTGGTAGTGAACGTTGTCTGACGGACCAACGGTAAACGTGGTAGAGGCGAAGCACCGGTATATATCAAGGCGGGCGTGGGGAGGGAGTAGTCCTGACACTTGGACGCCAAGGCGGTCGAGGAGTTATTGACTTGTTCGGAACGGGCAGAGGTGAGCGAGGATTCTGCTTTTCAGAAGATGCGGCTAAGGCAATGGTGAGATGGTGGACACAGAGCGCTGGGGCGTCATGGGGCGCTCAGAGCAACTGACTGGGCCCTGAGCAGCAAAAGGCTAGTGTGATGGCTGTCTACGACGCACACAGGCAGCGATGGACCTAGTTAGAAGGACCAGATCGTCGGATTCGACAAGTACCCTGTATCACATCGTGGCATGGCGTATGGCGCTCGCCGGACGCCATCTTTGGGGAGGCCGAAAAAGCAAGTGGGACGCCCAGCTCGCATTTCCATGGTGGGAGGACCAGGGTGAATAGCCCGCGCACCCCCTGCGACGCTCCCTGGCCGCCGTGAGCGCGCTCGTCCCCGTCAGCGGCCCACCGCTCGCGCAGCATGGTGCACATACTAGGGGCCCTGGCCGTTTGGCTGCCGATTCATGACGGTGCGCCCGTAGCACATTGGCCGGCGGGCTTTTGTAGACAGCATAGCGATAGTCAGGAATACCCCCACTGGGCGCGATACTCGACCTGCCCTGCGCACTGTAAAACCAAACATGTCCATGGCCGAAAGGTTGAGCAGCAGGCCCCTTCAGCCAGCCTCAGCAGCTTCCAGGGTGTGCCCGGGCTGGCAGCTTTGGTTGCCCGCAGCACCCAGAAGAGTCCAAATACATGGATAGCAGATGCGCTGCCATGGTGCCAGGCCCTGGATTCCGTCACCCCATACAGTGCATGGTGCATGTGTGGATGTGGATGTGGATGGATGGATGGATGGACTTGAATATACATAGATACGTACTTGGCTACATACATGTGTACATGCATGGACACAGCGCAACGGTCCCTGGAATAGAGTTGCAATGTTGGTAGTAGTGATAGTAATAGCAGTAGTTAGTAGACCTGGCAGAGCTTGTCAGGATAGCTACATACCTACCCTACACTACCCTACACTACACTACATACATGGGCACGGGCAGAGTGGTGGAGCGCCGCCTCGGGCGACCATGTGGCTGTCATGGTGGTTGGCAGAGGGAGAGGGCAAGAAGGGTGGGCGGTCATTGGCAGAGCATTCTCGTGTGCTGTTTCTCGTGCGAACCATTACATCTGAGGCAGCGTTCTCTCGAGCGGCGCACGATGCACGTTGCAGTCAGCACTCGGGCGTCGATCAAACGGGTGCTGGTGCTGGGCTGCGCTCCGGGCGCTGGTAGTGCGATCGTCACGGCCCTCACAAGGGAGGGATTGAGGTCGGCGAGGTGAGCTTGGCACTACGACGACTCCTTTTGGGGCCTGTCGTTCTCCCGGGGGCTACGCCATGGGCCTCAGTCGGGCGCTGGCCGTCCTTTTTGTCGAGCTGGCCGATGCTGCGTCGAGCGCGGCAAGCTGCATGGCTGTTCAAAAGCGGTCTCGTGGGTAGGGAGCCTTGGGCCTAGAGGGCTGCAAAGGCCAGGAAACAAGAACGGGGGCGCGCGTGGCCGCCACGGGAGGGGGGGGAGCAAATAGCAGTTAGGCAGGCCTCGTACTCTGGGTACGCACATACAGCCGACCCAGAGCGAGAGGAGCAGCAGAAGGAGCAGCAGGAGGAGCAGCAGGAGCATGGCATGGCATGGTGCTGGCGGCCGTTGGTGGGCTGGAGGGCGATCTGCCAGCGGGCCAGTAGCGAAAAGTAGCGAAAGGTAGCGAGAGGTAGCGAGTGGGTGCGTGTGGGATGGTTGCGCCAGTCAGCAGCAGGCGTGGCATTTGGAATACCCTTAGCGCACTGGCGATGCCCGTCTGGGAGCCCGTTTCGGCATGCTCGGAGGGGGCAGAGGGCCAGACGACGACGTTTTGGGACGCAGCAAGACCGTTGATTGCCAAAAGACGTCGTCACCCGCCTGTCTGTGGCCTTTGTCGGCGAGGTGGCCCTGGGCCGTGGCAGCAAGGCGGGCGCTGCTGCCAGTGCGGCTATCTGTGAGGGTGTGACGCTTGCATCTCGATTGCCTGCCTGCCCGGCTGGTGCAGCGAGTGAGGCTGGCCGCGCCTTGGGTGACGAGCGATTGATTGATTGATTGCTTGCTTGATTGATTGTCTCGAGAGCAGGGCTCGCCCAACTTTCTCCATTCATGCCCCCAGCCAGCAGTGGGCCGGCTACGCCATCGGTGGGGATGCTCTGCGTCTACTCTACCTGACACCGGCCTGTTGCTATTGTCGTCGCCGCCGCTGCCAGGATGAAGGGTGCAGCCTGGCCCGTGGCAATGGCCTTGAAAGGCAAACCCCACGCTGCAGACAGGGAGGCAGAATGACAGAGCGAGAGGGTGAGAGACGGGCAGGCAGGCGGACTGGCTGGCTGGAAGGCTGGCGAGACTGGCGAGACTGGCGAGACGGGCAGGGTGAGGGCGTGAAGCTGCAGTGCAGGTGTCGGGCCCACCGAAGTCGAGCCGGTCCCGCCGGTCCCTGTTGGTGGCAGAGGCAGACAAGTTGCGGCGCACGAGTGTGGCTGACGCATCAGATCCGGGGTCATTTGTGCTAGTCCATTTTAGGTAAAGCGGATCCCAGGTGAGAGGCTAGAGGCTCCGGCACGCACAGCATCCGACTGTGTGGGTTGCTGTGTGTGTGTGTGTGTGTGTTTTGCTGAGCCTCAGCCACTACGGTTGACCGTGATGCTGCTATTGCTGCTGCTGCTAATCTATTGTTACGACTGTCATATTCCACTGATCTGCCATGACTATTGCGACATGCTCATACTAATCCCACAACCACTATGCCCTAACTCACCCACCCACCCATCCACACACACACACCCCTTATCCTATGCACTAACATCTCCCCTCTCCACTCCTCACACCCTGCCCCCCCTTCCCTTCCCTTCCCTTCCCGTCCCCTCAGTCCCCACGGCCTACCTGCTGCCTGGGTACGCCTGCGCCACGTACATTATTACATACATGTCGAGATGCGCAAATCATCCAGTCGTGTGCCGCTGATTCACCCCCCTTGCCCACGCAGGGGTCGAACACGATTGCGAAAACCTCCGCCAAGCTGAGCATCGCGTTCGCTTTCCCCAGCACTGCCAGCGCCTGTCGCTGCACTATTGGATACCGGCCTGGGGTCCCTGAGTCGCTGGATCGCCAACCCATGTCCCACTGGCCGCCCAAAATACTATCCACAACCACAAAGTCCAACCTCCACCAACTCCGTCTGTTCGTCGGAGCACCGCGCGGGGCTTTCCGCTTGGCCCAAGAGGCCACGAGACTTGGTTGCCCTTCCCTTTTGCTTGACGCTCACTGGTGTCCTTGCGCATCAGCCGCACCTAAATCTCCCCTCGCGCTACTGTGACCGATGCTGCTGTGCCGGCTCCCGTCTCCTGGTACCAACGGTGGTTCCAGCAATCCAGCTGTGGCTCTCTCTCTCTCTCTCTCTCGCACACAGAATATGGTCCTGTCTTGTCTTGACTTGTCTTGTCTCTACCATACTCTAAAGTAGCTTTGGCTACATGCGCAACCAAATCGCATGCTACGTCGCTCTGCATGTCGCGTCCGCAGCCCACCCACGCTCTCTCGTGCGACAGGTTTCAAAGTCCCACTGGCCGACCCAAGACGTTCGGCCCCCCCAAACAAACAAACTCGCCCACCCATGCCGCAAAACACGTCCATCAATGTGTCTAATTCCATCCCAATACCATCACGTTTCTCACACAAGACCAAGTAGTCGCCCACTCGGTATGTATACATTCCGCGGAGTAGCACCGACACATTGCGACAAAGCTACCTGGCCACGACTCGTGCAATATTGACATTGACTTTGTGCTCGTGGCCGCCCCGCTCTCCCCGTCTGCACGCAAAAGAGGATTTGCGCGGGCGGAAGGGGAGAAGGGGACAAGCTACGAGTTACCAAGGTTTAAGACGTCTTCCCTGCAGATACTCTGACGCCTGCTCCTGTGTCATGGAGGCGTCTGGTTTGCCCTTGGGCCCCTGGTGCGTAGATCGCGACAATGGTGGCTACTGTCAACCAAGTCTGTATCTGCATGTCGCCCTCCCGCGCCGTACTACTACTCAGCAGGTCGGCGACGCTGAACCTTGACCTACAACCTCGTGGTTGCACGCCCACTGCCATTCTGCTCCCGCGCCCGTGAGTGACATGGATCCGTGCCGGCCAATCCACTGCCGCCCTGCTTCCCAATCAAGACACGCGGAAGGCCCTGTAGTATGCCTGTGTACATACAAAATCCATCACAATCGGGGGGCGCAGTGCCACCCGTGGGCCTCTGCAGAGGAAGGGCCTGATCCCGCTGCTAAGCTGCCGTCACAGAAGGGGTAACCGCTGTACCTACTCGCACTTGGACGGTAGTATTTGGATTTCTCCTTCGGATCCTCCACACTGTCCACGCAGGGATCCCTTGCTCAGATCGCACAGATCAGATTGACGAATTCTACCCGCCGGGCCAATCGCCTGCCTTGCCTCGCGCCTTCCATATCCTGAAACCCACTTCTGCCCCCCCCCCCCATTGCAGCCCGGCCTTGCTTTTTCCCTCTCCACCATGACACCCCCCCTGCACCCATGGACTCTGGCGACTGTGGCGCGCATTCTTCTCGATGCAGTTTACCGTTGAATCAACGTTTACTAATCGAGGTTTGCAGTCCACGGTTTTTGACAGCGGCACACCAGCGGTCAAACTCATGACCTAGACCGCGCCGTGGCCCCCCTCCAGCCTCACTATGCCAGGCATCCAGGTGACAGACAGAGTCGAGGCTCACCCAGTCCCGCCAACCCGGCCATCTCAAACCCACAGCTAACTACGTATGTCTTCAATCTACATACCTACATGCAACCCGACCCCGCTCCCCTCCCTGCCAATTCCCTTGACGATGCAATCAGGGCCGACAATACGCATGCACACATACACACACAGACAACATTGTCTTGTGCAGCCCGCACTCGCTGCCGCAAATGAGCGCGCCTGACTCGTCATTGACTCCATTCTAGTGCACTAGTCTGCAGCTACGCCGCGTGTTTCTCAATCGCCCAAAGCAAGATGCAGCACCAGCGTGGAAAAGCGTGGAAAAGCCGTTTAGCTTAGATCTGAGGCCACGCCCCCAAATCGGATCGACAGGCCCGCCCAAACCCCTTTCTCTCCCTGTTCAAAAGGGCAACAGAAGTAAAAACACACACGCACACACACACACACACACACACACACATACACACACGCCTGCGCGCACGCAAGCCCAGCACAACACAACGTGGCCTGCAAAATACAAGCAAGATCGACGGCCAAGACCGAGTCTCTCCGTATACGTCTGTTGTTTGTTCGGCCCATGCCGACACATAGCTATCCCCTGTTTCTCATTACCAACTGAAGACGTCGTTAGCGCATTTCTCTCTGCATCCACGCCATCATCTGACGCTGCTGCAATCAATTAACCTTT